ATATTCCCATGTATTTCTGAGGATACTGTATCCCACCAAACTAATCTTTCTTCGTTATATATAATATCTACAATAAATCGTAGTTGATTCTCTATATAATAATTTTTATATTAGGAATAACTAAGCTTCCATTTTTTTGAGTCTTGTACCAATATCTTTTATTTATTCCTGATTTTTTACCTTGATTACAGAATCCATTAATTAGTCCCTGCCAATACTTAAAATCCTCTTCTTTTTTTGTAACTTTTATTTTATTATATAACAGACAAAAAAACAACACATACAAAACAAAACACACATGGAAGTGTTAACCATGATACAATATCAAAAATATAATCTTGACTGAATACCATATTTTTCCATGTACAGTGGTGCCCCGCATAGCGACGTTAATCCGTTCCGGATTAATCGTCGCTATCCGGAAACATCGCTAAACGGAACATAAAACCCGATAGGAACACATTAAACCCGGTTTACTATGGGGCGGTATATAAGTCCAATAAATAAATAAATAAATAAATCTTTTAATATTTTAAATACCGTTTTTTTCACACCATAAGACGCACTTTTCCCCCACAAAACAGGGGGGTGGAAAGTCTGTGCATCTTATGGAGCAAAGAAAACAGATTATATTTTCCTGTTTTTTCTCCTAAAAATGGTGCGTCTTATGAAAAGGTGCGTCTTATGGAGCGAAAAATACGGTAGTTCAACTGGAATGCCATCACCTCTACTGGGCTTGTTGTTAGCCATGTTTAACACATCCTACTTAACACATCCAATTGTAAATCCAAATTCAGCCAAAAGTAGTTTTAATTTATAATCCACCATTCGCAGCTCACCGCAGGACCTAGTATTATGTTAGTGTACCAGCCATCGGGAGGAGGAAGCCAAGGGGATGAGAAAGTGATCTCCGTCCATGTCTTCTAAGTTTCACTTCTCTTTGTGACACAGTAGAAATTAGAGCTCCTGTTTAATTTCAAAGAGAGATTAAGTAACAGCTTATTTGTCTCTTGTTTACCCCAGTTTAGCTGGCTTTGTTCTTGTTTTTGTTTATTCTCTTTTTAGTGCTCCTTCACAGCCTTAGTTCGTTCTTTTCTGCTTTTAAGTCAGCAGCTTCAGTTTGATCTGTACTTGCTTATGATAATTAAAAGGCCAGTTACTCACAGTTGACGAAGTGAAGCAAGAAATTCTTTTCACACTTCCCACCTGGCAAAGTTAGGCAGCTGATTCACCACAAATGGGCCAGATGCTTTGAGAAAGGAACTTCTCACAAAGACAGATTTGCTGTCTGAATTCAGAGTTTCCCAGCTCTCCTTCACTGCAAAAATCACCCTCCTGTGAATCTTGCCCCCTCCCGTTCCACTGCTGGGGGGTCTGCTGGTCCGGAGTTTACACAGGATCCTCAGAACCCTGAGGATTCTCTGTGCTCTTGCTGCCATCGCTCCACTCCCTCCCAAAACCCTCTTCTAATTTTATTGGGAGCATCCTAAATAAAAAAGTTATTCTTGGTAATATTTTCCTTTTGACCATAGCAATTCTCTAAAACCACAATAGTTTCAATTTAGAATACTACTGCAATTTATCCTTAATATTGCTTTTTAATTTATTAAAACTTTGGTCCTTTATTTTTTGTGTCACTTTAACTATATTTGTACCTAAATATTTAATATAATTGCACATTTTAAATCCATATTTATTTAAAAACTTTTCTTGTTCATATTTATTGTGACTAAACATCATTACTTGTGTTTTTTGTCAGTTGATAGTTAATCCTGTTATTTTCCCAAATTTTTCTAAATGATTTTTAATTCTAGTCATACTTTCAAATGGGTTTTTAATCGTTAATAATGAATCATCAGCAAATAAATTAATCTTAATTGTTACATTTTTCCTAATCCTTGAATTAATTCATGATTTCTTATTGCATTAGCTAACAGTTCTATAATCATACAAAACATTAATGGTGAAAGTGGATAGCCTTGTCTTGTACTTCAGTCTAGAAAAAGCCATTCTGTTAAACCATCATTAATTATTGTTTCTGAAGTACAGTGGGGTCTCGACTTACGAACTTAATCCATATTGGAAGGTGGTTCTTAGGTCGAAAAGTTCTTAGGTCGAATCTGCATTTCCCATAGGAATGCATTGAAAACCATTTAATCTGTATGTGTTCTTTTCTGTCCATAGAAACTAATGGGAAGCTGCTATTCTGCCTTCTGCCACTAGAGGGGGATATTTTTTCCCTTAGGTTCAGGAAACGAGGAGGAAGGCAGGGAACAGTTTGCAAAGCAACGAAGCCAATTTTAAATCAAGTTTTAAAGCATGTTGTACTGATTTTTTCAGCACAAAGACACACAGGCAGGCTTTTTAGGTACTGAGCAAGCCTCCCCAAGCCTCTTCAGAGCCAGCCCATCAGCTGATAGGCAGGGAGAGGAGGGTACAGGAGCGGGGGAAAAGCACAAAATGGCTGCCAGGCTCCCCTCTGGGTGTCGGCTTTTAGCTGTTTCCTGCTCTTTTTCCTGCTGTTTGGGGGCTACCAAGGCCTGGTAAGTGACTTTCTTTTATTTATTTTTAAGTTTCTGACCCTTTTTTCCCCTCCAGAAGCCTCTAAGGGGAGGGAGGGGGCACTTTTTTCCTGTACGTAACTCGAGGGAAGTTCGTAGCTGAGTCCTTATTTCCCCTATAGGGCGGGTTCGTAAGTTGAATTGTTCGCAAGTAGGGTCGTTCATAAGTCGAGACCCCACGTATTATCTGAATATAATAACAACATGAATTTGACCAAACTCCAGGAGGCAGTGGAAGACAGGAGGGCCTGACCTGCCCTGGTCCATGGGGTCACAAAGAGTCAGACACAACTTAATGACTAAACAGCAACAAATCTGTTTATAATTGATCTGTAACCTCAATAAATCTTCTGCCAAATCCCCAACACTTTAAAAGCTGCTTTAACCATTCCACGCAATCAAGGGCCTTAAATACTTTTCTGCCTCATATACAGTGGTGCCTCGCTTAACGGGCGCCCCGTTTAAACGATGAAATCGCATAGCAACGAAGATTTTGCGATTGCTTTTGGATCGTATTGCAATGTTTTAAATAGGGAAAAATAGCTTTGCGATGATCGGTACCCGGTTTTGCTTACCGATCATCGCAAAGTGATGATTTTTTAACAGCTGATCGGCGGTTCCAAAATGACCACCGGGTTAAAAAAAATGGCCACCCACTGTTTTCTGGGACGGCTTCCTCGCTTACCGGGCAGCGAAAATGGCTGCCGTATGGAGCATTTTCGTTTAGAGGTGAGTCTGAAGCCCATAGGAATGCATTGAAGGGGTTTCAATGCGTTCCTATGGGCTTTTTAATATTGCATAGTGACGAAATCGCTTCGCAGCGATTTTTGCTGCACCGATTATCGTCACTGTGCGAGGCACCACTGTATAATATTCAAAACCTGCCTACTTAAATTATCCATTTGTCTTACCTTTATAAAGTCCTCTTTAATATAATTTTGCTATAAATCTATTTGATCTGTTTGCTAATACAGCAGCTCTTTGTGTCTTGATTTATTAGAGATACAGACCTATAAGATCCCGGGTCTGTTAGGTCCTTGTTGGGTTTTGAAATAAGAATCAGTAATCGGTGTTTCCAAGAAGGTGGCATTATGAAGCATTTTTAGCTTAGTTATCAGAATGGAAGTAAAATGTTTATAATATTCTGGACCCAATTCATCAAAGCCTGGTGTTTTACTATTTTTCAATTTAATAATAAATTCAGCAATTTCTTTTTCTTTAATCTTTTCTTCTAATATTCTTTTGTCACATTCCAATAATTTGGTTCTTAAATTCTCATTTATATAATTTTCTATACCTTTCTTTCAACACATTGTTTCCTTTATATAATTTCTGATAAAATTCTTAAAAGTCTTCAGTTTATCTTTCATTATATTACACCTCTTACCTCTTCTGTTTAATTATCCCAATCGTGTTTTTTAATCTTCTATTTTTGCAAATTCTAGCTAATAATTTTGAATTTTTATTGCTACATTTTAAAAAAATACTTTTTATATACATCAAATCCTTCTGAACTTTCTCTATCTTTAGGTTTTCTAGTTCCTTTCTTTTTGCCTGAATTTCTAACAATATTCTTCTGCCTTTCTAAAAAAAACACTTGCTTTCGAAATTTCTGTTCTTCTTCAAGTTTTTTCACGTTTATCTCCTTAATTTTTTCAGTTTATAGGATTCCCTTATTGTTATTCCTGTCACTGTGTTTGATGGGTGTTGTTAGCTAGTCTTTTGTGTGCAGTGATCACCGGTCCTTGTGGCCACAGAGACTGGTGAAACGTTAGGACAAACCACCAGAACATGGTCAAACAGCCCAAAAAACCTACAACAACTATCAGATGCTGGCTATGAAAGCCTTCCAGAATTCTAAAAACAGCTTATCTCGTCACTCAGGTTTTCTAACAGTAGGAAATTACCATGTGTTCTAGCCTAAGGCAAACCTTCATTCACTTTATTCCTGTTCAGTTTCCTCAAGTCAGCAACATTCTTTCCATAAACATCTGTGTTTTGACTAAATACTCAACCTTACAAGATATTTTTGTTACTTATCAATAATCATGATAAAAATCATAGAGTTTATGAACTTACACTTTTTCAAAATATTCTGCTATTTGAGTGAAGTTCGATTGATTCAATGAGCCTACTTTGGTTAGGACACTTGAGTTTAGCTCAGCATTGCAAGCTGTTTTCAAATAAAGAAAAATAGATTATAAAATATTTCAAGGGAATTGGTTATTACTATTTATTTAAACAAAACTGGTACTAAAAATACTAATACAGCAACCATCAGGGAATAGATAAATCAATGCCTGTATTCTCTAAATCCTGAAAACTGTTTCACTGAACTTCATCTTGATCAATTTACACTGGAATTATGAAAAAATTCATGATAAGAACTACCTCATTTCATGAATTTCTATATCATTTCCCATTTCTCTTTAACAATAGACAAAACTACCTGGAAAAGCTGGTCAGGCTTCTGCATCTCTGTCGAAAAGTGCGGCATCCAATCAAATGTCAGACAGGGGAGCCTGTGCTTCAGCGCCAATGAAACAAACTCCAAAGCCACCCACCACAAGCTTAGCAAAATTGTCAACTCCTGCAAAAAAGTCTGGGAGCTCAGAGAGCAGCGGGTCATCGTCTGAGACTGAGAATGAGGCTCCTCCGGTTCCAGTGAGCCAGAAGGTTTGGAGTTAATTTGAAATAATGGGGTTTTGGTGTTTCAGATTCCACATATGTTAATGTTTCCACCTAGGGTAATGTGTTTGGTTGTTTTGTCCATCTTTCATCCTTTACTCCATGTATGTAGAACTTTCCTGTATGTACTTCTTGATCATTATGGGACTTGGCTAGCTCTCCTAATTGCTGGAGGTTCACGCCACCCATTCTTTTTATCCTCCTTACTAGGCAAAGCCAGGCGTGCCGAGTACACAGGTCAGTTCAACGCTGGCAAAAAGCTCACCAGCCACTATTGCACTTTCAAAAGCAAGTGCAGTAAAGGTACCTCCAGCCAAGGTGAAAGCAAACCAAGTTAGCACAGGAGCCGGAAGTGCATCTAAAACAGCAGAGTCAACAGACAGTTCAGATACAAGTGACTCATCAGACAGTGAAGATGAGGAACCATCTTCAGCAGCACAGGTGAGATGCACCAGGGACATTTACCCTTTTTTACTGTTCTTGTTTTTAGGGTTTAGAATCCGTAGGCACGAAATTAAATGGTTAATGGTTTGAAAATGGGCTGTATTAATACAACACTTTTGTCATTTTCTGTACTATTTGTTGATTGAAGGATCAACAATGCAATCTAAGCCCATAATGTCAATTTCTGCAAATGCTAATATTTGCCAGTAAACTACGCAGCCATTCTTCAGATGGCTAGTTTCGAATTATACTGATTTTTAGCTACATTCTATGCTAATATCTTTTAATGGACTCAGTCCATTTCTTAGTCCAAGCTTTGATAAACACATTGAGTGAAATCCTATTGATTCAGTGAGTTTACTTTAGTTGGGACAGTTGGGTTTAGCTCATCATTGTACACTGTTTTAAAAATAGGTTATAAAATTTTTCAGATGAGTTACTTATTACTGCTTATTTAATTGATAGTTGTACTAGAAATACTAATACTTGTCCAGCAACCATCAGGCAACAGATAAACCAGTGCAAGCTTCCTGTGGCATCTGATTCTTGAAAATGTCTTCATTGAACTCGAACTTGAACATTGAATCTCGATCTGCTTACACTGGGAGTGTTTAAGAATTTAAGATACAAACTACCTGAAATAATGAATTTATCTTTACGGTTCCATATTCAATATCTCTTTAACAATAGACCAAATTACCTGGAAAATCTGCTCAAGCTTCCATACCTCTGGTGGAACATGCGGCTTCCAGTCAAATGTCAGACAGGGAAACTTGTACTTCAACTCCAATGAAACAAACTCCAAAGCCACCCATCACAAGCTTGGCAAAATTGTCAACTCCTGCAAAAAAGGCTGGGAGCTCAGAGAGCAGCGGGTCATCGTCTGAGACTGAGAATGAGGCTCCTCCAATTCCAGTGAGCCAGAAGGTTTATTTCTTTATTTGTTTTTGTTTTGTTTTTGTTTTATCATTTGTAGGCCCCTTTTTCCTGGCAAGGGGAGAATTATGTAGGAATTACTTGAAATAATGGGTTTTACGGTGTCGCCTTCCACCTCGGCTAATGTTTGCAAGATGATCCTTCTTGTGAGAGTGGAATCTTAGTTTCAGAGAATATAGGTCATGTGGTTGGGTTTTTCGCCCACCCTTAATTCTTTACTGCCTATATCTATAACTACTTTATAGTATCAGGAATATGCCGCCTTAGACAGGTCATTTTGCTAGGGGAAGGTGCCATGACTCTAGTTCCCAGCATCCACCACCCTTTATTTCTAGGTTAGGTGAGACATAGAAAGTGTGTGAGTGGCCCACTATGGGCAAGCCTCTAAGCTAGATTTCCAATTCCTCCCTTATTTGGGCTTAAATACTCTTCAGCTGTGTACCTTAAACCTTCCACACTAACCTTACCAAGTTGGACACCCAAAGAACAAAAATAGCATAGCCCTCGTAGCTAAGACACTTTATTTAGGCACTCACACCCTTGCCCCCCAAGAGTCATACTTGGGTAAAAAGTTATAAAACAAAAGAAATACAAAAAGATACAAATTGTACTCTTAAATGCCAAGCATCTAAAATAAGCTCCTGCAGGTCTTTCCCATAGAACAATAAAATGATTAAGTAACTAATGATTTTGCTACTTAATTACCATGCTATTCCATGTAACCATTGCTAAGTCTCCTAGTCAATCAAGGTAGGTTTTAAACTTGTCACCGCCTTCTCCTAGACTGGTAAGCACTTAGAATGGTATTCAGTGTTTATCAGTCTTGAGATGTGACCTTGGCTCTTCTCCTCTGAATTGACACAAGAGCTGCCTCCCAGGCCAAGATGGGAACAGCCATGGAGCTGGAAAAAAGCACTACAAAACCCATCACTTTATCTGCGTTTTCTTGTGTCCACTTATCAATATTGGTCTTGGTTGTGGAGTAACATTCAGATGCTTTCAGTATGTCTTCTGAATCCTTCTGTACCTCGAATGTTACTTGTCTTTCAACCTACTTTCTTGTATAATTGCTCTCTACCTCTTTTCATGTGTTTTTTTTCATATAAGAATTATTCACACCTAGTGTGGTTGTAGAACACTTGTATGACAACAACCTATCATTTGCACTGGTTTACTGTTACTGATCAGGATCTGTTGGATATTTATGCTTACACAAAAGGAATTAAATGAGTTACTTTAATTAATTGACAAGGTGCCCAGTTGTATGGTAGTCACGTGCTAGTTAGTGCAGGGCATCTTCTCAGTTAGTTGCAGTTAGTGCTGGTATCATCAGTAATATTTCTTGCATGTGTGTAAATATCTAGTGGGGTTTGAACAATGCTATTTGCTTCTTGATGGATAGCCCCATGACTGAATTTTCACTCTCCTTCCTCTCCTGCCATTTTCCTCTCCAAACACATTTCATGTGTGTTGTCTTCTGCCAGACAGAATGGCTACTAACTTTTAAATGTCATAAGTTGGTGGATTGAGGTGATCTGACATGTAAAAGAGATCTGAATTAATTAGGACTTGCAAAAACATAATGAGGGAATACTATGTCCGTTTTTAATATAAGTTGACAAGAATTGTTGAAGGTAATGTTTAGTTTCCTTGAGGACTTAGAAAAGAGATACTTGTCAAATCATGAATTCCAGGGGTCATGTTTATAAAAGCCTTTGAGTTTAACTCTCCCCATACTGTAGCTATCCCTTGAAACTCTCTCGCATTCCCAGCTGGGGGAGTGAGGGTCAGCAGCCCGGAATGCTGAAATTCCTTTGCTTAACACAGTAAGTTGCTCAAGAGTGGAGAATCTGGTGAGTTGATTTCTCATATGTCCCAAGGATTCAGATGTACTTACTGTATTTGTAATATATTTTAGTGTAGTAGATTACAGCTCGAGTAGGCCCATTTGAATCAATGGCCCTTATCGAGGAACTGACTGAATCAGTGGCCTACTGTAATATGACTTATATGCTAAGTAACAGGATTTTAGTCATGGTATCTGCTCTATTGCAGTACTTCTCTGCATGTACTATCTTCTTTTCCTCCATGTAATGATGTAGGGGGTTTTGGTCTCTTTATTTCTTTGGCAGGTAGACTAAGGAGTTAAATTTGGAGCCAATAGTTGAGACTGTGACCAAAATTCTCTTGTGTAGCTGTGCAAACAGCACATTTGGTGGCAAATTGCCCCAGGTTAAGACATCACCATAAATATTATCAGTTGCACATTAAGTCACACAACTCAGTATGATATGCAACAAATAATATGGAGATTTCTTAAACTAAGGCAGTTTACTTCCAAAGGTTATGCTGTTTGTATTGCACCAGCATAAGTGGGCAAGTGGATTTTGGATTTTGCCTGTGTAAGCAAAAAACATAAAAAATAGGACTGAGTGTGGGATAAAATGGATTGATTGGCATTGTCAAAATGAGTTTCATGTTTACATTGAGTTTTAAGATTTTGGATGTTTATCCAGCTGTTGGTATATTTCATTTGAGATAGTATGGCAAATAAGAATGACTAATGAAGCTGCCAGCTTATACTTTCACATAAAACATGCCCTGTTCTCCTTGCCTTAGTTGAAAGGGAGCAGATACCAGTGTTTTATGCAGGAGGAATCAAACTAGAAAGCCATTGTCTTCAGAATACAGTTTAACATAGTTGTTCCTGCATATGAAGCTAAACAAAGTCTTTTATCCTGATGTTTTTTTAAATGGGTATCCAACTTAACTGGGATTTTTTTAAAAAAACTGTTGTTATGCATAGTGGAGACAAGGAATGTAGGGAGCATTTAATTCTGATATCTAAGAGTTTGAAAAGAATGAAATGTTGTAGTTCAGATCCCCACAAACAGATCTTCCTTTAACAGTGTGGTTGGATATGCTTCTGTGAATTTCTGTCATATATTTTGTTACTGCGGAAAATCAAACTATGATTGATTGATTTAAAATGTTTAGCCCTGCCATTCTCCTTGAAAAGGACCCAAGGAGGATGTCAATGTCGAAAGACAATATTTAAAGTTGAAAGCAGTGAGTAATGAATCAGTCAACCAATCAATCAATTGATCCCATCTGGCAACTCAAGCCACTCTAGGTAGCTTACACAGTACTGTACAAGAAAACAAAATATAAAGACAAAACTATAAAATAACAGGATAATAATATAAATAGTCAATACAACATGAACAAATGAAAATAATATCAGGAAGTCATAAAAATAAAATATTAAAAGCATGGCAGGGGTTGAACAGTAGCAGATATCTCGTAATTTAAGCACTGTTGTATCAAGCTATAATAGAGTCCAGGAAGGCCTGTCTAAATAAAAATGTTTTAGTAATCGCTTAAACATTGCCAGTGAAGGGGCCAGGCAGATTTCAGGCGGTAAAGCATTCCACAATTGTGGGGCTGTCCTGATCTTTATACCAGAAAAGGATGGAAGAGGAATGCAGTCTTCAGAAATGTTAATGTTCTTAATATTTATTTTCCATCTCTTTAAAGAGAATTACATATCACTTTAACAACTGAGGCAAGTGAACCTCAGCACAAATTTGCTGTAACCTATATTATTTGGACCATTGTGTAGCTATGCCTACATATATAGTAGTGCCCCGCAAGACGGGGGCGCCGTTTGACTACGAAATCGCGTTATGATGAATTTTTTGCAATCGCAAAATGATGTTCCCTATGGGGGAATTTCGCTTTGCGATGATCGGTTCCCTGCTTTGGGAACCGATCATCGCAAAGTGATGATTTTTTAACAGCTGATCGGCGGTTTCAAAATGGCCACCGGGTAAACAAAATGGCTGCCCTCTGGTTTTTCGCACGGATTCCTCGCTGCACAGGCAGCGAAAATGGCCGCGCTATGTAGGATGTTCGCTGGACAGTGAGTTTGAAGCCCCTAGGAATGCATTAATCTGGTTTTAATTCGTTTCGATGGGCTTTTTAAAATCGCATCACGACGTTTTCGTTCTACAGCAATTTCGCTGGAATGAATTAATGTTGTGATGCAAGGCACCACTGTAAGTAGATAGGTACAAGCTGGAACACTGTTACGTACTTTCATCAGCATAACTTTAGAGGTGTACATTTCATCAGTGAATTGTATGATTGCTGCGTATTAAGAAAGACAAGCGAAAGCTTCATAACCGCTGACAGTTGAACCTACTTTTTTCCGACGTCTGATAGCTGTATCCTGATCATTGGTACTCTACAGATGGAATGTAGCAGGATAAATACACAGGAAATGAGAAATATCCTCACCAAGTATGGAAGGTCGGGTGCACTTGGTAACTTACAGCAGAAAAGCAGTGATTAATGCAGTAGGTGTCAGCACAAAAAGCTCCCCTTGCCGCCACCACACAAGTGTCCTTTGGTGAGTGTAGTGAGCAGCTCCATCCCTTGGCAGAAAGACTAGAGCAATTGATGCGGAAGGAAATATTCTCTCTGACACAAGCAGAAGCATGCGGGAAGCAAAACAATTATGCAGGATAGACTCAAATGCAAAAAAAATAAAAAAAAACATCCCTTTAAAACTAGGAGCAATTGTTGTATCTGTTGATGTCTGAGTTATACACAGCCCTCATGAGGTTGGCGGCTAGAAAAGGTGTGCTATGTGATCATATATTTGAATAATTTTGAGGGGAGAGGAAAGGGGATCATATCTAATCCTTCTTTCTTCATCTCTCTTCCCCCCACCCAAAAGAATGACCTTTTCAGTGAAATAATTCTGACCACAGAAGAGGCTCTCTTTTTTCGGCAGTCAGCTGCCAGAGGTGTTTTGCACAGAAACTTACTTGTGCCACACCCTGGGCGGAGATGATAAGAAAGAACTCTTGCTATTACAGGCCCACCAGTCCGGGTATTGACCTGTTCAATAGATGAAAGCTGCTTAGAAAACTACTATCTTTTTATGCCCAAGGCCTTGTTTTCCTCCCTAGTGTTTTTAAAAATGCAGCAGGCCAGATGCTGGGCTTTTTGAAAAGGCTGCTTTGATTCTGCATCCTGTGGGGCCCTTTGAATTTTGGTGTAATTCCGCCAACTACAACTTAGACTTCTTCCTGCTTGGCTTCTTTCTGAAGCAATTGAATGGCAGGCTATATTTTCTAAAAACATTGATGCATGTTCTTTTCTTCAGCCTTTCCTTCCAAAACTAGCTCTTTTCTATTTACTGTTCCACAAGCCTGAGTTTTATGTAGTTTATGCACAACCCATCCTTTTTAATACTGATGAGTTGAAAGAATTTCAAATCAACAAATACTTCTGTCATTTAAGAATCAATTGAGTTAGTCTGAGGAATTAACAAGTTTAAATATTATGGAAGACCTGAAGTTTATGAGGCACAGAGCCTAGGGCTCCTTCAGATCAGATTAAATCTTTCATTTTGCTCCAGATCATGTTTCAGTTTTCCAAGAACAGGACTCCTTGTGAATTCCTGTTTTAAAAACTTAAAAAGGAAGAGTTCATTTTCATAGAGACTTCTGTTGTGTGGGTTTTGAGCCACATCACTCTTTCGTACAAGGGTGGGCAACTCCCAGAGGACAAACAGAAGCTCATGCCAACTCTTGGATCTTGAAGGGCTGCAGTTGTTCTGGCACACACCCCCATCCCCTTCTTTTTTAACTGAAAAAGCCTCTGCATACCCTTCAGCCACCATAGGGAGAAAGGGCAGTATTCGGGGGGCGGGCGTTACTCAGTCACTGTAGGGGGAAATAGCACCATTTGGGGACTGTGGTAAAATATTAGTGGTCTTGAATAAAGCCCCATCCATAGTCTATAACAATGAGGGGGAGGTGGGCAAAACATGGTAAAGTTGCTTCCCGTGCAAGGAGACTTTCAGAGAAATAATTTAAAAAAAAAACACTTGGAAGGGTTTGGGGTGGGGGAGGCCCACAGTGAGACATATGCAGCTTATGGGCCTGCCTTTGTCCACATTACAGCTTCCACCAACCACAGTAAGAGCCAGTAGTTAGAGATGTGCAAACTGTATCGTCCAGCAGCACCTGGAGGGCCACAAACTACCCACCTGGCTTTATCCATTTCTTTGTTGTGCACACACACACGTTTATGCTGTGCTGTCTGGATTATAGAGGTTGCTTCCTCCTGGGATTGTGGTAACTGTAGCAAGCTCTGTAATGAAGAGAGGCTAGAAGGTGTTTTATCTGTAAACTACTTCTCTTCAGGAGGGTTGTGTATCAGGTTTAGAAAGCTTGTGGTTAAGGTAGTGCTGAAAAGGATCAGGAGTTTGCTTCCAATCAATTGATGATAATACTCCTGTGCCATCAAGTCAGTCCTGACTTATGTTTACTCTTTTTTGGGTTTTCTAGGTAGAAAGTACTCAGAAATTGCTTCCTATTCCCATCTTTTGGGAGTATCTGTGACTGTACAATTTATCCAAGGCTACAGAGGCTGGCTCTTCCTGCAGAAGGCAGAGTGGGGACTCAAACTCCCAACCTCTGGCTCCGCAGCCAGATACCTAAATCACTGAGCTAGCCAGCCAGCCAGCCAGCCAGTAAATTGAATATATTCAAAACCACTGTAAGTTTATAAAGAAGTGTAGAGTAATGTCCAGTATCTTCTCATGTGCTTCTCTGCTTAACAAAATGGAAGTGTAAGGAACATTTCAGGGTACCAACAGGTAGATATCTTCAAGATACTATGTGTTATCAGGTATTGCCCATTCTTTCCACTTTTACAGCCAGCTCAAGTATGTGGGCAAAGGAGAGAAATTCCCCTCCCACAGAAGAACCTCTGAAGAATGAAAGCATAGAAACCTGAGCTTTTCAACATAGGTTGAGATTGAAAGGTGGGGACAGCCATGCTGTTGAAAGTGCCTATTGAGAGTTTGTGTTCTGAGGAGTTCATGAAATGGCTTTGCCAGTAATTGCGTATTGTACAACTCCAAAATGTTTTGTAAGTTTTAGCCTTCATAAATTCATCCATGTCCAGGTGCCTAGTTCTTGTAGCAAATCAAAACAAAAACGATCTTTTGGTCTTAAAAAGGCAGCTATTTGCCAAGAGTCTGGCTTGAGTTGTTGCCTCACATGTTGAGTTTGTGCTGGTGACAGTTGAGATAGAAATAGTCACAGCTCAGGTTCTGCACGAACAAGGTGCCAGGTTCGTTATCTCCTATCACTGGTGTTGAATGGGCAAAGATTTTTGCCTGAAATCAAGGACTGCTGCTAAGCAGAGTAGACATTAGTCTGGATACCCCAGTGGGTTTAGTGTCAAAAAATACCTATGCTCCTTCCATGACATCTGCTGAGGGACATGGGTTAGTCATGTGCTCTCAGACCAAGCTAATACTGTACAGAGATTTTGAAGTTCTATATATATGCACATACCATGTAAGATACTCCAAATGTAAAGCCAGGTCAAAAATGTAGAAAATAGCAGTTTAAAAGTGGAAAGTGCCTGGGATATAAACCAGGGCTCTAAAACCAAAGTGTTTAGGTTCGGTAGGACTTCCTAGGACTCTTGTACGTTGCTGAACACCTCCATTGAATCACTGTATAAAGTATCAAAGGAGTGTTTTTTTCACATCTGGTCCTGAACTCCTGTCTCACTTACTTCTGGGAATTAAAATGTTGCCAACCTCACACCAGTCTCACTAAACAACTGTGATTTTATCAGCTTTGGTGTTCTTTGTCATGCTGCAGCTGGAGCATGAAAACAAATCATTTACCAGTGGTGGGTTGTGTCCTTTGGTTTTTTCCTGTGGTGCAGAGATTGCAGGCTCCCCAGGCGCCTACTGGGACCAAACCAAATCAGGATAATAAACCAGGCAGCCTGGTGAAAGCGGCACCGAGTGCTTTGAAAGCGAAGGGAGCGGGCAGCGACAGCAGCAGCACATCTGACAGCGAGGATGACGTGGCGCCGGCAGCTCTCAAATTGCCGCCCCTGTCCGGTAAGCAGTCTCCAGTTTTGTTTGGGGCCTTTTGTTTTCCTCTTCTTTGTCAGTGTCTTTGCTTGGCCAATATGCCGTTTGCGCTCTGAAGTGCAGAAACATGGGAGCAGATGCCAATTATTCTGAAGCGAACATGAGAGACCTGTCAGTGTTTGCGGTCCTATATTCCTCTTCTGTTTTGTTCCAGTGCACCCTTCCAGAATCGCTAATGAACAGTTCTTTTGAGTGGAGAGAGGATGGTTTTTTTGTTTCTGATTCTTTTTAGTATTGCCAAGTGCAGATCCATGTCTAAATGATGAGCTCTTCTGGAAAAGGAAGAAAACATCAAATGAACTGTTTTACATTTCCCGGGCTTTCTCTATAGGAACATTGTAAAGAGGTCTAAAATTGGCTTGGAATAGCCTAGGGGGGTTATGGTTTCCGTTGTTGAAAGACTTGATATTAGGAACTTCTAATTCATGAAGGAGAATTAGTTGTGATTTGTTGTTTGACGAAAATACTGAAAGCACCATCCCTAACGCGGTGTTCAGGTCTTTTGATGCAGGCTCTTTTGAGTTCAAGGCCGTCATTTCCTCTCATCAGTTTTCTGCTTTAGACAATGTGGGAAAGAGGAATTTGTTAGGTGAACAAAAGCATAAATTGTTAAAATATATGGAAGTAACAGGGTATTGCCTTTTTAAAAAGGCTAACTGATGACCAGAAAGCTTCTTATTGGGGATATTTGTACAATAATGTCTTCGTTACAGATTTGATAAAAGGAATAAAATGTCTAACTTCTTCAAAGTGGTGTCTTAATAAATTCTTAATTCTTAATAAATTGCACTTTCTAAGTACAATGTTGTGTTTAGGAAGAAATTATTTTAAGTGTACAGAGGGATTTTTAAGACTGCAGACTAGCGGTCGAAGAGTACATGGGGGGGTGTTAATGATGAATCGACATAGTTTTGGTGCATACTATGGTATTTAAAGCAGGTATTGTGTCATCCTCCAGAGTCTTGGCCAGCTTGTGCTGGACTTTTCCCAATGATAAGATATCTTTACCTGGAAGTGAGGAAAATGCCATTCCAGCACCTTTTCCCTAGCTGTTTATGCCCCAACCAACTTCTTATGCCTTAAAAGTGTTTCAGGTGGTTGAGGTGGATGGAAGAGCTTGTTCTACAAAGGTGCTCCAAAACCTCTGATCCAAATGGAAAAATATGTACAGTACTTTTTATTAAGGAATGTAATAAGAGAACAAGGGAAAAGTGGGCAAGTAGTTTGAAAAATAAGGCGAAAAATACTCAATAAACATATGGGAAGCACTAAGAGGAAGATGCTCACAATGAGGATAGTGGATTTAAAAAAGCCTCTAGGGATTAGATCAAGGTCCCAGCCTGGTTTCCTGGGGTTCCCCAGACAGCCATGTCTTCTTCCCCATTTGTCAGTTCCTTTATGAGATTTTTCCCATTCTAAAATGTGGACATGCTTTGTCTGAGGTTTAGTTACTAGAGGTAAGAGCTTTGAACTAAGATGTGCTAATATTTTTGCTCCAGTCTTTGGCTCATGGTAACCCATCCACCCTTGGAATGACACCACGCAGTTACTCTGAAACTGAGTTAAGTCCTTGGGGGTTTCGCACCTTTGTCTTAGAGGAAGGCCGCGGAGAATAAAGGCGTCTTTGAAGGAAAGGATTGAAGATATTTTTAAAAATAGTGATGACCATATAGAACAGGGGTGTCCAACCTTTCACCTTCCCTGGGCCACATTAGAAGATGAAAATCTGGTTTGGGTCGCACATACATTTGGTTTGGGCTGCATGGGGGGGGGCAGCCCTAGCCGTCCTCTGCAGCCCCACTCCAAGCGCGCTTACCGGCAGCTGTGATCTCAGACAACAGAGGCTGCCAGCTTCGACTGATGGGGACGGCTCAATACAGTCATGCAGCCCCCCTGTCCCCTTCCCTCTCTCCCCCTCTACTGTTGTGACGTACCCTGGCCACATTCCGGCCGCAAGCACCGACAGTATAACCTGAAACTTTGGAATTTCTTTAAAAATAAAAAATTGCACTGGGCCGCATTACGAGCTGACCTGGGCCGCATGCGGCCCTTGGGCCGCAGGTTGGACAAGCCTGATATAGAAGCTCTGAACTCCCAGTTTGTAGCTTGTTGAGTCCTCATCTTGTATCACCCAACTTTTTTCAGCAACCAAGGCAAACATTGCAGGTGCTTCAAAGCCTCAGCCCGGGTCGACATCACTTCAGGAGGCCCAACAAAGCGAAGACAGCAGTCAGGATTCCAGTGATGAGTCTGACTCGAAAGAAGGCACAGTATTCACCCAGGTAACTGAAGAGCAGTGTGTGTTGGTGGTGGGAGTGGCTGGAGACTGAATCCTACAGCTGCAGCCTACTGTAAACATCAGCACTACCAAAGTTCAAAGCACCTACTTGGGTTTGAATGCATTGAACCTTAAAGGGAAAGACAAGTAAGCTGCTAGAAACCTTATTCAGATGTTTAGCAGGAAGGGAGAAGTAAAAAGTGTGAAACTGGTCTCTGGTTTTTGTAAATCTGATCAACTGAATTTTAACTTCTGCAGAAAAGTTCAGACTTTGTGAAGGAGACCTGTGTGTGTGTGCAAGTCTAATTGTGCTGCTACAGATCCTGGTTCAGAAAGGGGTAGGGTAAGATCTAAGGGTTGGGAGCCAAATTAAAGCCCCCGCCCAGGCCTTTATGACAGTGGTCCCCAACCTTTTTCAGTTCACAGTCCAGCAGGGGAAGGCGGGGCACCCCCTGCGTTTGCGCGCATGCGCGAACACGTGCTCTCTCTCTCTTGCACAGGTGCATGTGCACTCATGTGAACGCCACACCACCATTTGCAGATGCGCACAAGCATGAATGCACACGCAAATGGCACTGCGGCGCTCGCACGGGTGTGCTGGAGCGTGTGTGCAGCCGCAAACAGGCTGTGCGTGGGTGAGTGCATGCAGGGGTGGGGGCTGGAGGTCTGCCTTGGCGGCCTGGTCCGGCTCAGGCCACGGACCAGCACTGGGTCACGGACCAGGGTTAGGCACCTCTGCTCTATGAGACCCAAAAATGCTAAACCTAAATAAATAAAGAGGTAGCTGCATGGGCATTTCTCCTTCCTTCTAAAACAACAACAGCAAACTGCTCCTAGAGGCCTTTTTTGCTCAAAAGAAGCCCTTCCCACAACCATTGTATTCTGTGTAGAATGTGGGAATTCCATGGGCTTTATTTATTTATTTATTTATTTGAAAGTTTTTTTAGCCACGCCATGACCAGTTCCCTGAAGGCCTCACTGTACCTGTCCCTGTGTTAAGAGTATCCATTACTTTGTTGATTAGTATCTAGATGAGTGGTTCCCAACTTTGGGTCCCCAGATGTATTTGTTCTGCAGTTCCCAGGAATCCTGGCCTGCACAGCTAGTGGGGAAGGCTTCTGGGAGTTTTAATCCAAGAACATCTCGGGACCATTGGACTAGATTGGGCAATTCAGTGTTCACTCAGTTGCTGTACGAACCCACCCAAGCTGTAAGACACCTAATGAGTAGCACAGAAACAACAGCAGACTAAGAATACTGGCTTGGATTTGAAATGGTAAGGAGCTCTACATAGTGGTGGCAGGTGATTGGATTTCCTTCAGTGAAAAAAGGAAAGGGAAGTGTGTTACTTATATACCACCCTATAGCACTTAAAGCACACTCTGAGTACTCAAATGTACTGACCTCAGAAGGATGGAAGACTGAGTCAATCTCGAACTGGCCACCTGAGCCTATCAGAATCAAACACAGTTTATGAGCAGTCTTTTTTTTCTTTATAATTTATATCCCGCCTATCTAGTCAATTAAGACCACTCTAGTCTTGACTGCAGTACTGCAGTTTAACGGCTGCTCTGCAAATAGTTTCATCCTTTCTCTTTTCTTCCACCGCCTGTCCCTCATCCCCATGTTGGAGTCTAGAATTGTCAAGTCTGCTTCCCAACAGAGTGCTTAGGCAATGTTTCTGCTCAGAAGAAAAAGAGTTCTAACAGTGCCGGCAATTTTAAAAAGGACTTATTGCTGAATTTTTCCATGTATAAGACTATACTTTTGTCTAAAATCTTTAGACTTAAAAATTGAGGGTCGTCTTATACACAGAAGTAAGCTGAAGAGAGAACAAAAACAAATGGAGGGGAAAGCAGGGATCAAAGTGATTCTGCAGTGCTTTGATCCCTTTCCCCCTACACTTGCTAAGCCCCACTTATAGTTCTTAATTTTGGATTAGAAAATTGGGAGGGGGGAATCTTATACATGGGAACGTCTTATACACTGAAAAATACGGTAGTTTGCATAGCTATCAAATCTGGCACCCAGATTTTTTTTTAAAGCTCTCAGTTTTTAAAGAAGATTGACGGAGGAATTGCTAATAGAGATGTTATAAATCACTCTTACATTTTAAAAATATATGCTGGCTGTGCAGTATCATGGCACCCAGATTTTTTTTAAAGCTCTCAGTTTTTAAAGAAGATTGACGGAAGAATTGCTAATAGAGATGTTATAAATCACTCTTACATTTTAAAAATATATGCTGGCTGTGCAGTATCATTATTCGTAATATTGTGCCAGATGTTGTATATCAAAAACAGATGAGAGCACTTTAGAAAAATGCAGACTGTAGTGTGGCTTGGGAGAGGCAGATAACAACCAATGCTGTCAGTAGCATTTTGGCTGAAAATGTTTGTAAGAAATTGAGAGAAGGCTTCTATTTTACCTGTAGGGCTGCCAAAATACCTTCTCAGCTGCTGCTGCCTCCAAAGTTAAGTTCAAGATACTGCTTGACAATGCAGTCCTATGCATGTCTATTTGGAAGTAAGACCTATAGAGTTCATTGGGACTTTTTCTCCTGGTAACCTTTGAGACATAGTTTATTGCCCACAAATGCATTGTATTCAAAGGAAATCACAGAAAATAAATAAAGTAAGAACAATAATCAGACAATAGCCATGATATATATTCTAACATTCAGGTTTCAATAGCAGTGATTATAAAATGTATGGTACACATGTTAACCATATCAGATGCCAGCAATATTAATTACAACTTTATTAAAATTCAACAGTCTTTAACCCAAAAGTAAACAAGACAGAGCACTCACCATCTTATATCAGGGACACAGAGAATCTGCCCCTCCAGGTGTTTTTTGGAATGTCGTTCCCATGATCCCTCACTATTGACTTGTAGGTGGTGATGGTGGGAATTACAGACCAATAACCCAGGGAAGGGACGTGGTGGCGCTGTGGGCTAAACCGCAGAAGCCTATGCTGCAGGGTCAGAAGACCTAGCAGTTGTAAGATCAAATCCACGCGACGGAGTGAGCGCCCGTCGCTTGTCCCAGCTCCTGCCAACCTAGTGGTTCGAAAGCATGCAAATGTGAGTAGATAAATAGGGACCACCTCAGTGGGAAGGTAACAGCGTTCCGTGTCTAAGTCACACTGGCCATGTGACCACGGAAGATTGTCGTCAGACAAAACGCTGGCTCTGTGGCTTGGAAACAGGGATGAGCACCGCCCCCTAGAGTCGAACACGACTGGACAAAAATTGTCAAGGGGAACCTTTACCTTTACTTTTAACCCAGGGAGGACCAAACATTCCCCCATCCACCCACATTGCATGGATGGTTCCTTCCACTACCAATTCTTGCCACAAAAGAGAAGGCATACCTATCACAGGGCACTTCAGAGAGCCTACTGTGAAGCAACAGAGATTCCATAACCTGAGTCAATAAACGCTTTTATGGTAGGAGATTGAGTCACGCTAGGCTCTTACAACCATGGGGTGAAGTTGGTTTAAGATCTGGCTTGTTCTGCCCTTGGTAGCTGCAGCTTCCCATTTTAGAAACTGTGGTTAAAAGAATACCTCTCCTGGGTTATTGATGCCTGCTGAGGAGGGATGGACAGGCACAACCGTAGGGCATGTGGGCAAGTGACCTCTGCTTGTCTCACTTTGTTCAGTTTCAATATGTTTTTCTAAGCACAGCCACTGTTTCCAGATTTCAGAGTCTGTCCTGCGCTCTGCTTGCCCCATCACACAGGTGTGGCAAAGCTCTTCATAGCATGTTGACACTATAGATTTTCACAGTGTTTTGGTTCTGTGCAGGAGCTAGAAGCTAAACAATTGGTGGCACGTGGTTGAATGGGTAATAAGTATTTTGATTGGCATAACCAATTTAATCCCTTTTGATCAGGAATACCACCTTCAACACCTTTTTCTTCTTTGATATGTTTTTGCTTTGGAACATCCATTCTCAACTTTTTGGGGGCCATGGTCATAAACACAATATGAAAGAAATATAGGACGAATCAGGAGAATATAAGTCACATAATGAACCTTACAAGTTGGTGTGTGAAGAATTGTTTCCAGTTTGTGGCCCCCTTCACATGTGCCGGGTTGCCCCGGGGATCGTATGGCCCCTGTTGAGGATGGCTGATTTAGAGCCTCTGTTCTTGTTAGAGACTAATTATATAATACCACACTTTTCCTAGAAACCAGCTCAGGTGACCCAGAAACCTGCTCCAACTCCTGCAAAAGCGCTGGCTGCAAAGGGTGCAGGTGCCACACCAGGCAAAGCAGGCGGTGCTCAGTTGGCAGGAAAAAAGAGAGCAAGGCCAGCCAAGCCAGCAGCTGCATCTCTTCGGAAAGCCTCAGAGAGCTCAGAGACAGGCAGCTCTGTTTCTTCACAGAGTGAGGTGGCCGGGAAGCCAACAAATCAGGTAAAATGGAAAAAAGCCATTCAGGAGTGCAAGAGCAGAGCCCAATATTGCAAGAAGATCATTCTTAGGGTGGTTCAAACTTCACATTTGAAGTTTGAACTGCCATAAGAATGATCTTCTCACAATTCCAGACTGTATGGTCACTATTCATTCTTTTCTTTCTAGCTTCTTGGCAGAGGGCTGATATTAACGTGGTGCCTTGCTTGTTATGGAAAATACAGTGGTGCCTCAACTTACGAAATTAATCCGTATTGGACCGGTGGCCGTAACTCAAAAATTTCGTAAGTCGAAGCACCATTTCCCATAGGAATGCACTGAAAACCGATTAATCTGTTCTGGCCTAAAAAAAAAATAATCCCGGGCTTCCAAAGCTGCACCCACTGCCTCCCAACCCCACTGCCCTCTGTTTCCTGCCCCCACGGGGACAGGAGGCAGAGGGCAACGGGTACAGCTTTGGAAGCCTGGGAAGCCAAAAGCTGTCTCAACCGCCGCACCGGGTGCCAGCTTCCCAGGCTTCCAAAGCACTGGCATCCGGCGTGGTGGTCGGGGTGGTGTTGGAAGCCCGTGAGGCTGAGCCTCCCTTTTCCTAACTGTTGAGGTGAAGAAGCAGCCTCTTCGCCACCAACGGTTTGAATTCCCTGCCTTTTTTCCCTGCCTTTTTCTGTTCGTAACTGGAAGCTCTGGCCTCAAGCTGAAGCAAAATTTTGCAGCTGGAGCTTTTCGTAACTCGAAATTTTCGTAAGTAGGGACGTTCGTAAGTCGAGGCCCCACTGTACTGTTGCCACATACATTGGAAAAGCTGTTTGCTTCTTCATCCTGGTATCAGTTCTTACGCCCCCTATCCATCCCAATCTTCCGCCCACTTCCTTATCATGTCACTTTTTAGTAATGATCTGTATACATTCCAACAAGAATATAATAATTATTACAGTTCTATAAACTACCTGAGCTTCTTTATTAAACTCTTGTGAAGCAGGTAATGAAGAGGAATTGAGGAGCGCAAAAGACTTACAGTGTATTTATGAACAGGCAGGCATATGGAAGGCAATGTATATGCCATTTTTGATACTGTTTTTCTTAGTCTCAAACACAGCTGTTATTTCTGAGAATGATTGGTTGTGAGGCTTCTTCCCACCTGCTACCAGCTGTGATGATGATGTGTATTTCTGATATCTTACTCTCCCCACATCCAGCCCCCTATTCATCCCTTTTTTAAACAGATGGTGGGAAAAGGAGCCGCTTCTTCGGCAAAAAGCACGCTGGCCAACGCCAGTACATCGAGTGCCATTTCCAGCCAGCGCCAGGAGCTTGGCACAGCGGCAACAGGGAAGGTGGAGCGGAGCCCTTCCAAAAAGGCAAGGCCAAGCCAAAACCAGGATCCCATTGTGCTCCTCCAGCGCTTAGATAGTGTGGAAAGCAGAAGTTCCTTGGACAGTCAGGAGGGAGAGGAGAAAGTAAAAACAGCGGTGATGACAACCAAACAGATCCCACAACCAGGTATGAAAGACATGTCTCACCTTTGGGGAAATGTAATATTTAAGACCTGGCACATACAGGGGAGGGTATGTGTTAAAACCACAGCAGGCTATACACATACATTGCCATTGAAGGAAGTCCTTGGCTGCATCTCTGTTTTGCAGGAGGCATCTAGGAAGAATTTCATGGTAGTCTCTTTCACTCTTTTTCCCCACCACCGCCTCATTTTTTAAAAAGTGTGTAATGTTGCCTTGAGAAGAAACCTTTAATGAGCTAAGACTGCACTGGGAGACATTTGGATATTCTTGAGATGTCCAGAAGATGGCCTGATTCTTACAGAAGAAAAACATGCAGGTGCTCCACTAGCATCTGGAAGTAACAGTCCACTGCAAGAATCAGGACTGTTCTCTAGGTGGCTGCCTGTGGTGACTTCTGAATGTCTTCATGATCATCTGCCACTTTCTTGTTCCTTGAGATGATGCACGTTGTCCTGGTGACTCACCTTTTGCCAGGCTCATCCAAAAAAAAACAAGTGTTGGCATTTTGTAGCACAGCAGAGGCAACCTTTGCAGTTCCCGTCATGGAGACTTTTGTGGGCCATACTAGGCTTACAATCCAGCGTAGGTTGTTTGCATGAAAAGTTCATACGTCCCTTGGTTTGTCTTAATCTTCCAGGTAGTTTCTAAGCTTTTTATACTGCAAGAGCTCTGCATTTAGTGAAAATATATATATACATTCCCTTTCCTCAGGCGTACCACAGAAACAAGGAGCAATAAAAGAGGCAGAGAGCTCATCTGAAGATTCCAGTGACGATGAAGAGCCTTCACAGGTACTGATAACCTTATTTACATACTGCATGCTAAAAAGGGAGCTGCCCCAAAAGGTGTGAACGTCTTGAAGCTGCACAGGATGGTGGCCAGTCTTAAAACAATGTGTCTTTGCCCCCATATTTTAAGAAACAGAAGTAGTGGTAGTGCAAGGCTGATGTAATGCTAGTTACTTAAGGTGGATTTAACCATGCACCTGTATTTAGTAAGATCTTTGCAAAACAGAACAGAAGCGAAAGATGTTTGTACTGCTGAGAACCATATGTTTGCAGGGGGCCTTTTGATATTAGGGTGAGGGCCATAAATTATCTGCTTGTTGACTCAGAATCTCTATTTTCTCTCCAATTTCCACTCTGTTAGCATGTGACTGGATTCCCAGTGTGGTGTGGTGGATAGAGTGATGGCAAAGGACTCTGGAGAACAGTTTGAATCCCCCTTTGGCCATAGAAACTCATTGGGGTGGTGGAACTGGTAAAACCACTCTTGAATATCTCACTTACCTTGGATGATCTGTTAGGGTCACTCTAAGTCAGTTCCAACTGGACAACACAAGAACATACACACACAGTATGTGACTGAGACTTCAGCATGGGGTCGTTTCTCATGTCAGCCTTGCATCCTTACTTAGGATAAAATGGCTCCATCTCAGATTCCCTCAGAGAAGGTTGAGACAAATATGAATGGCGCTGCATTCATAAAGTGCGCCGGCTTACAAACACGGCGAGTGTAAATTCGATTTTTAAGAACAGTACTGAGTCCTGCCCACTGAGGCCTTGTGAAGGAAAGTCTGCCCATCCTGTCTTATTCCAGACTGTCAGAGTAAGGCGATAGTGCTGCTTTTCAACATGCACGCTCCAGTTCATATACAGTATCTGACTTAATCCAAATAAGGGTATCCATACTTCTGTTCTGGCTGGAATCTGAAGTGTTGACTGGAAGTGGTGGCAGATTGGGCAGCATAGTGCAGAGTGCATAGTTTAGATGCAGAGCAAACAACACAGGGTTGAATCTTTCTTGAATCAGTGAAATTCACTGTGCAAGATTTGTATGCTGCCACCTTCAGTGCTTTTGTTGGTTTAATATTGAAATCTTATGTCAAATTAAGGGGGGAGGTTAAAGAAAAGGAAGTGTGTTTGAAAGCCCCCTGTAGGGTAACCAATATAAAAGTGCTGTTAATGATTATTGGTTGAATAGAGGTTTAGAGCTTTTCGTCAGTACATAGTCTTTCCTATTGCTTAAAAATCTATAGGTTTGAATTTAAACCAAAATACAAATATCTGAACATCTACTTATGACTGCAGTATAAAATAATTACTGTCTGCTGAAGTTAAGTGTTTTCACTGTGTTGAGGAAACCTGGACACCTAGCATAAGAGTACTGTAGTGTTCCTTTCCTCCCTTCCTTCATCCGTTCTAACTAATTCAGCCGTTGCATGGACTCATCCTTTACATCAAGTTCCATGGTATCCTGGTTTCCCCTGAACAGGTAGTGCTAGTGCACATAGCCTATTCACCAGAGCAAGTGAAACTTATCAAAAATTGTTTACTTAATGGACCCGGCTTCCTTTGGGGGAAACAAGTGGAATCTTCTGATCAGACACTGGAATATGTTAGCAATTTCTGGTGAGATTCACATGCTCATGCAAAAGGGAGAAACTGGAGCACATAAGCTTCATTCACAGACATGCTGCTGTTCCACAACAAACCAGGAATCCTGATCTATCAGTTACTGTGAATGCAGCCAATGCCTTTAAGAAACTGAAATGCAGAATTTATTTATTTATTTATTTTTGGCAATAGAATATGTGGAGTGTGAAATGGCAAGGATTAGATTATGTTTGCTCCAAAATGGATAGGCTGGATAAAATGAGTTTGATTTCTATTTAATATTTAATCTGTGTCTAGACGTTAATAATAGCACTGTGTATATGTATTCAGAGTTGTAAATAGAAAATACAGTTACAGGATAGGGTCAAATGAAAATGTACCTGCTGATTTCAGGGCCACTAAGTGAGAGAAGCTCCCAGCAACTTGCCCAATTAATTGTACTGGTCTGACCATCTGTTAACCTGCTCAGCCCTCAGTAAAGGGCAGACCCAGCAGAGCAATGAAACAGTTAAACAAGCAAAGCTGTGTTGTGCATACAGCAGCAATTTTTAATGTGCAATTTAAGCTCATGTCTAAACTATAAAACCCCATTTTATGAGCAATGTATAATATGTGTTGTACATCTGCAATACATTAGACTTGCATGCGAGCCTGATGGGCAGCAGCCTCCCCTATGGGTGCTTTACAGCGAGAGAACAAAGAAGCAAATTTAGTGTATATATCATAAATCCATAAAACACTCACATAACTTCTCCCTCCCTCTCCTCCCCAAGGGAGAATGGAAGTCTTTGACAGCAATTTTTTTAAAAAACTCTTCCCAACTTTCTTTATGTATTTCTACAACTGAGCCAGTCTTGGCTTACAAGCTGCTTCTGTGTTCCTACCCATGCAGTGGAGAACCATAGGGGAGCCCTCGCAAGGCATGGAACTAGGCGGGTTTGTGGAATTTTCCCAGCTTAGTCATAATGCTTTTCGAATCTCCCACACTTTTCAAATTTGTAACCAGGCTGTAGAAAGTAACATCGCAGTTCTAGGAGGTTGGGGTATGTGTGTCTTTTTGGAGTTACTTTCATCAGCAATTGTAGTGAGCAATGAAGGATGGTTTTAACTTGAAAGAATTTATCTCCTGGTATCTGCTTGTGCTACGTGGTGGCACTGGAGGTTAAACCACAGAAGCCTCTGTGGTGTAAGTTCGGAAAACCAGCAGTTGTAATATTGAATCCACGTGATGGAGTGAGCTTCCGTCGCTTGTCCCAGCTCCTGCCAACCTAACTGTTCGAAAGCATGCAAAAATGCAAGTAGATAAATAGGTACCACCTCAGTGGGAAGGTAACGGCATTCCGTGTCTAGTCGCACTGGCCATGTGACCACAGAAACTGTTTTCGGGCAAAATGCTGGCTCTACGGCTTGGAAACGGGGATGAGCACCACGACCTAGAGTCGAACACGACTGGACTAAATGTCAAGGGGAACCTTTACTTTTTATCTGATTGTGCATTTTCCCCATTTCACTCCCAACAGCCATTGCAGTCAGCTTCCCTCACCATCCTCAGTTCAGCAGATTTCCTACCAGCTCCTTGCTCATGTCCTTCTCTCACATTCCATCAAGACCCCTTTCTTCATTAAAGATGAGAAAAAGTCTTTGAAGAACCATGTTCTAGAAATTCTTCTATCGTTATTCCTGAGAGTGTAAAAAAAAAAAGAGACAGACGATGATGGATTGTGGCCACCTTATGATTCTTTGAAGTGTCTCTTCTTGAAGGGAGATGTGTAGTTCTCAGTCAGAAGCTACCTCTTTCTAATCCATGCATATGTATGTGTTCTCTCTCTTCCTCTGTAGTCCCTCTTGGCAGGTTCATCAGGTCCTTCCAAGACACCAGCATACACTGCACTGAAGAATACTTCTTCCATGCCTTTGAAACAAAGTTCTGGAAAAGCCGGTGCTTCTGTCCCCAGTACCCTTGCAAAGACCTCTGGGAAACCTGCCTTTGCTGGCATCTCGTCAGGTGACAGCAGTGACTCTGAGACAGATGTTGAGGAAATAGTTGGAACCAAGGCAGGTTAGTCTTGGTAGATGGATTAGTAGACAAGACTGAAACAGGGTGGGCAATTAAACAGTTAATTAACTGTGCTCAGATTTACACAAGCAAGTCTTCTTACTGGAGGCACGTGCCTTGCCGCAAGGGCTTCTGTTCAGTAGAACCGGCGGAAGCCTCCCTCTTCACTCACTTGGAGGGAGAAGCTGTCAGCACAACACGCAGCTTGTGCTACTTGGACATGCTCACTGGCTTAAAAGCTCTCTTGATATCTACTCCTTGCAGAGGACTTATGGCGGGGAATGTGTGATAGCCACAGATTTACAGATTTCTTAATGCACCCTTTCTGTAATGGGCTCAGCATTTCTTCTCAGAAGAGTAGGTGAACGGTGGGAATGTTTTCTCATAGCAGAGGTGACTATGGAGCATGCTTCCACCTTCTAAGCATGTTACCAGATTCTGAGAAAAATGACTATCCTGGCCTTTGTGTTTCCTTAAAAATTACAATGTGTTAAGTGTGTTGAGCATCATTAACACAATGGAATGTTCTTCAAGTCATGTTCTAAATGTTAAATCAGAAGCTTGAGGGAAAACGTCTTTCTACATACACAAAGCAAAGCAGTTTTGTTTTGTGATATTAAAAATTCCTATTGCTTGAGATATGATGAATACAGACTGCGTGGCAAAGATTAAGACCTCAGTTGATGAGTAACATGAAGTCAAACAGAATTGAAAGTGCCTGTCTTCAGAAAATGAATTGGTGCCTGTGCTTATGTGTATGTAAACATCTATGTGTGTAGCTAGGTTAGCTTTGACTCATTATCTGTAGGTCTTCCTTTAATGTTGTTGAGCTTACATATTCACTTCCTTAGTTTTCTGTATCACAAGCTGGCTTACGCAGCCATCTTCCTGTGTATATTATTCATGAGGCTGATCTGAACAAGATTCATTGATCCCCAGGTCTTGGGGGCTTAGGGTCCTGGTTCTCAGCTTGGACTGTGCCACTCAGTGCCACAAACTTTCCTTCTGATTTGCTGCACCACCTTACTTCTTGTTTCATAGAACAGTGCCTGTGCTCTGATGCTATTGAATAGCCGTTGTCCTTGTTTTTCTTTAAAAGAAGCAGTTGAAGGGCAGGAAATTAACTCTTTAATTTTCTGCTAGTATGCCCAGTGCTCAGCTTTTGAGTATATGGGATGGTGACATGGGCCTTGCTTTTTTATTAATTTTATTTTTTAAAATTTCCAAAACAAATACAAGAATACAAAATACTTACTAATGCAATCTGAAATGCAGTGCACCCCCATACCCATGGGACCCTTTGGAGCAATGCTTTTATTATGAACCTCCTTTCCAAAACTGTATTAATTGTTGCCTAGAGGCTTTCCCCTTTCCTTTCATTAATACAAATTCAATAAATCTACCCCAAATAGATCTCAGTTTATTAATGACTTCAGCAATTTCTTCTTCTTTAATCTCTTCTAATATTCTTTTATCACATTCCAATAATTTAGTTTTAAAATTCTCATTTCTATAATTTCTATATCCTCTTTCAGTATATTGTTTTCTTTATATAATTTCTGATAAAATTCTTGAAAAATCTTCAGTTTATCTTTCATTATGTTATACCTCTTACCTGTTCTATCTTTAATTATCCCGATCGTGTTTTTAATCTATTTTTGCACATTCTAGCTAATAATTTTGAGTTTTATTGCTAATTTCAAAAAAATTCTTCTTTATGTACATCAAATCCCTCTGAACTTTCTCTATCTCTAAGTTTTCCAGTTCCTTTCTCTTTGCCTGAACTTTTACCAATATCTTTCTATCTCTTTCTAAAAAAAGTTGTTTTCCAAATTTCTCAATTCTTCCAGTTTTTTCACATGTCTCCTTAATTTAATTTTTTTTTAGTTTACATGATTCCCTTATTGTTATTCCTCTTGAAATTACTTTCATCGTGTCCCACAACAGGGCTAATTTCGTACCTCCTGTTTTATTTATTGTCCATAATTCTAACCCATCTTCCTTTATCTTTTCTATTAGAAAAAAATTATCTTTTCTAATAGAATAGAATAGTAATAGGGCCTTGCTTTTTATGTCACATATCTGGCAGTCTCCTTTGGAACATTCCTAGACTGTTATAGGAGTGGGGAGCACGTGCCCTTCCAGATATTGTTGAACCCCATTACCCTGGTCTGGGATGATGATAGTTCTCATCCAACAGCAACTCGTCCTCATTTAGTTGTTTAGTCGTGTCCGACTCTTTGTGGACCCATGGACCAGAGCACGCCAGGCCCTCCTATCTTCCACTGCCTCCCGTAGTTGTGTCAAATTCATGTTGGTTGCTTCGCAGACGGTGTCCAGCCATCTCATCCAGCAACTAGAAGGCCACAAATTCCCTAGCCCCAGTTTAATAGGTCTTCCCTCTTTGGGGCCAGCAAGCTAGTTTTAAAAGCAGATGCTGGCTTTCTGTGTTTTATTTATCCAACATTTCGGGCTACCCGAATACAACATTTTTTTTCCAAGTAATACTTGAATGTTTTGGAGGTTTGGTTTTTGCAATGCAAAGTTTCCACTCTGTTTTCACTATTGGCTGAGCACATCCATTCCTGAAGACGATGGTGTGCTCTGTGATTTTTTTTTAAACAAAGTAACGCTTAAATAAAGGCTAGCCAACAGCCCTTCTGAAAAGTCTTTTGCCGCCATCTGTTGGACATCTTCAGAAGTCTGTCTACTGTACTTGTGCTTTGCATTTTCTTGTCTGAACATTAAGCAGGACACCTGAAGGAAGTAGTTGAATTGAGTAAGTAATAGGCATAGCTTTGCGTTGTATTCCCCAGCCACACCCCACTCTGTTTCTTGCTGCCTTGTAGAAATTGTTTAACAGTTTGCAAAATGAACAGAGTGTGGGTCTTAGGAAGTGGAGTGTCCTCAAAAGATTATATTAAAATATAGCAGTTAGTCTTTAAGGTGCCACAATGTTTTTGTCTTCTTTATTGTTTATATTTCTTTTGTTTTTGCTTGATATAGAGTATGGATCATTAGTGAATAGAACAGCAAAAAGAGACTATATTTCTTGCTAAAAGCTGAGGAGGTGGGGATGTCTTCCTTGTTGGTTTGTTAGGTGTTGATTCTCTGGGACTGTATTAATACTCCAATGGCAGAAAGTTTTCAAACATTTTTCTTTATTCTGGTGCCATGCAAACAAGCTTGATATGAAAATGAAACAAGGGTCCACCTATCTGAATTTTCAGTGTGTACTACATTCCTTTATAACCCATGGCATATTGCTTGTTTTTCTTTGAATGTTTAGGATTCCATAAGAAAAGAGTTTCTGTCATGTCCAAGGATCAGGGAGGGCAATTTTTACATATAAGAACAAAAGCCCAAAAACAGAATAACATGTGCTCCATCCCTCACTACATCTTGAAATAGTTCGTAAAAACTTCACATTCGTCCTGGATGTCCTTTATAAATTTAATTTCATTTTGGTGCATGGCATGCTCTTCAATCCATACCTAGAAGTGTATCACAGAAATGCCCAGCTTGGGTTGCTTACTTTAAAAAGTGGGATTAGAATGTAATAAAGAAATAAAAGAAATGAAGAAAAGTTCTCATGCCACCGCAAAGCAGCCCAAAGTGGCTCCACTCTCTGTGCCAAAAGAATTCCCTCTGGCAGGTTGTGTGCCACCCCTTCAGGAGATTAGACACCGTTTCTGGGCATGGGATTGTGTTCACCAATGAGTGGCAGTGTTGCTGTCAACAGATTTCAGCTTCTCAGTGGGTGCGAAGGCCGTACGGGATTCACTGTTTACTTTTGTTTTTTTGTTTTTACAGAAGTCAGCACGTTGCCTTCTTCAGGAAAGGGCACAGTTGTGGCCAAGGTGGGTAAAGAGGCCACAGTAGAGAAAAAAGGACCAGGAAGCAAGGTCCCCAAAGCTTCCAAAGCAAAGAAGACGACAGCAAAGGCTCAGAGCAACGGCAAAGCCAAGGAGGCTCCAGCGGTCCAGATCCTGCTCACGTCCTGGTCCAAAGCTCAGCCTGCACAAGTTGGCTCCGAGAGCAAAGAGGAGGCTGCAGCCCAAATCCTGGCCGCTGGAGGCCAGGAGGAGGCAGGGGCCACCCCTGCCGTGGCCGGAAAGACTCCAAAAGCAGCCAAGGCGTCCAAGAGTGGGGAGAAGAAGAAGGTGTCCAAGAAACGGAAGCTGGCCACTGGGGACGCGAGCCTAGGGGAGACGAAAGGGAAGAAGCTGAAAACGCAAAGCAACCCAGAGGCTGTGACGAAGAAGAAGAAGAAGAAGAAAAAGAAGTCCAAGACTCCAGGCGACACCAAAACACCAAAGAAGAAAGAAGGCAAAGAAAAGAAAGCTGATAAGAGTAAGAATGCCACCCTCACTCTTTGGCAGGCACCCACCCTTTCCATAGCAATGCATACCCTCTGCCCTGTTTTTCTCTGTCTGCTGAGCACATTTTGCTCTCCCAACTTGTGGGCTGATGTGGTAGGGCTTACCAGCCACAGAAGCATGATCTTCATTTGTGTTAGGAACTCGAAGGGAATGCTTGAAAATTGGAGACATAAGCCTCACCCTCGGTAGGTGGAATCCTAGCAGACGACTCCCTGGGTGTCAGGAATAAGATAGTGGAACAATGGATGAATCCCCTCCCATGCCCATCTCTCTCTTTAAGGATTCATGTCCAGCCCATGGGAAAAAGAATAGTATCCCTTTGTTTCAGCTCTTCTTTCAGCCCTAAAGAGAAACACTGAGAGAAGGGGCCAGGAGATGGATTCATTCACATGTACTACCACTCACGCATCTTCTTCTGCTTTGTCCCTTTCTCTCAGTGCAGACGGCTGACTGTACCCTCGCCAATCGTTGCCGTTGCCTTTTTTTTCCCTGTCTCCTTCGCTTCTATGCCACACAGAGTGTGGTCTTAGTCTGGCTCCTTCTCTGCTCTGCTCCAGGGCTCAGCTTTCAATTCTCAGGCCAGATTTTCCTTGCTGCCTTGGACCAAAGCTGAGCATCAGTCTCTCCTTCCTTGCCCATTCCTCTCAGGCCAGTGTGGGCCCACAGTTATGAGGGATAACAACCCCCTCTAGTAGTTGCCTTTGACACACGAACTGAGCATCAGTCTCTCCTTCCTTGCCCGTTCCTCTCAGGCCAGTGTGGGCCCGCAGTTATGAGGGATAACAACCCCCCTCTAGTAGTTGCCTTTGACACACGAGGCTATGCTATGAGAGATGCCACATTGTTTTGCTATATGATTTTCATTGTGTTTGGCTTTTTATTGTACACTCGCTCAGGTGTGTATGCACAATAAAAGTGTACAATAAAATTTATATTGGCCTCAATATAAAAGTCAGATATAAATAAAGTACAAAATGAAATTAGAATCAAACTTAGTCTGCTCTAGTGCTTCATCCCAGTATAAAATGGCGCAGAGAATTGGCCTCCTTCTGTTACCTTTTGCCATTCAAAACAAGCCTCTGTGAATAAACAGGCCCCAGTGAATAAAGCTGGCTGCTTTCAGACAGCAAGCACTTCCCAGTTAAGGGAGATTAGGGCAGTGCATGTACAAACAGAAGTCTTGTCTTTATAGGGAGAACAACCGTATGTAGACATATTCCATAAAATGTGTGGCCCTGGTGCATCTATGCATGCAGGATGTGTGCATGCACCATCACCGCTGCCTCCTTCCCTCCTCTCCCCATTGCAAGGCAAAAGAGAGCCAGGAAGCCAGTATGACTGTTTAAATGGCAAGGCGTTAGTGTGGTTAAAGGCCCCCAAAATGCATGCTTATCTATATGGGAAAAGTGCTGCTGTGCTTCAGCTCCGAGGGTTACTCTTTTTTGTTGCATTAAGCAGGAGCTGGGGAAAGCCATAAATATCTGTTGAGATGATTCAGTAGTTTTAAGCCTTTGTTTAAATGCTTAGAGCTGCTGTTCCCAATGAGTTGCTAATGAGGACTGCTATTAATCACTCTGTTATGAAGACAGTTTTAGCCCATGTGTAGCTCTAGCTAAGGCTTGCCCAATTCTTCCAAGGCCTCCAGAGTGATTTTCTCTCTCACTGTGCTGGCTCATGAAGGAGAGGTGGGCACAGACGTCCTTTTGCAGAAGGATGTGGAATACGTGGGAAAGAAACTGAAAATGGGGTTTGGTGGAGCTGAGGGAGCATTCTTGGGACAGGTTTGGTCAAATATAGACTTTGGCTTTGGTAGATTCAACGTTCAGCTCCCAATCCTTTGGAAAGAAAGTTAGTTTAGTTTAGTTTAGTTAGTTAGTTAGTGAACTTATATGCAGCCCACACTACCCAAAGATCTCTGGGCAGCTTATTTTATTGTATTTAGATACAATAAAAGATAAAACAATTAAATACAATTATGCACAGCTTTCTTGCTATGTCTCCCTTGATTCATGTATTCAGAAACTAGGGATACTTTGTCAAAAAAAAGGGTGTGGAGATGAGGATTATTACTGTAAAAATAATGGGTTGTCTTGTGATTTAACTAAATGTGTAGTGAAAGCCTTCAGTTGTTCCCTGGAGATGTGATTTGGAAACTGTCTATTGCTTTGGATTCTGCTGTACCTTCCCAAAGGATAAGATAATTGCCAACATTTAAACACCCTAATTAGTGAGGGAAGTAGCTTCCTGAAATTGCTTCCTCCCCAAGCCCTTTTCATGAGTTCTCCTGTTACTACCCTTTCACTGGGTCTACAGGGGGAAAAGCTAGCATTGTTTCACATTTGTCAGTGGTGTTTGTTTATCATATGCCAAAAGCATTTGTGTTGGGCATGCCCTCTTCTACGTACATAGTCTCTCCTTGCACTTGGGATGTTCTCACCACCTCCTTCTCCTGAAAGAATAACCTGAGGACATAGCGGCTGAGAACGTCTTTCCTTGTATTTTAGTCTCTCCTTGCACTTGAGATGTTCTCATAACCTGAGGACACAGCGGCTGAGAACGTCTTTCCTTGTATTTTGTCACCAGAGGTGACGGGAGACGGTGCATTATTATGTGATACTATGTCTATGTGATACTAAAAACACATGGCACTTGCTGCACCGCTGGCCATATAACGTTACTGTTCACTATTTGAAGTGCACCCTAGTGGAACAGGACCTGCTCTCGTGACAGCCTCTTTGTATATAGATATGCTGCCCAGAAAAGAATCCATCTGCCAAGGACATGCGTCCATTTTCTCTGATGAAAATGACACAAGTGCTGTGTGATGTCGTTCTTTCCCCTGCCCTTTCATGTTCTTCTGTCAAAACCTTAAAATGCTTCCTCTTTCAGGCACCCTATGCAGGGAAAGACTCGGTGGTCTCCGTATAATGGTGCAAATGTTGCTTCATAGAAGAGGGTGGTAATGAGTTTTTGTGGGTGATTCTAGCAGTGCTTTTACAGAAACCACAGTCTGTCTGTTTTTTTCTCCCTTACAAATGTTTTATAGAGAAAAAGAAAAGCAAAAAAATGGAGTCTCTTAGTGAAGATGGGTTACAGAAGAAGAAGAAGAAAAAGAAGGTAAGATGCGCTTGGGAACATATGCTTGATGTTTCTTTTACTGTCGTGTGATGCCGCATAGTGAAGGTATGTACAATTCCTTTCTTTTTGTATCAAAGCGTTAGCACAATTCAGACATGGCTGAGTGCCTAAATTGAGCTGGAACTTCAAGAAAATAGTTGGTAACACTTAACCTTGAACCAAAACCAAGTGCCAACATCCAGAATATAGTAATTAAACTTTTTAAAAAACTGTGTAGCTAGCACAGTCCCCCTGACCATGATAGCTGGGGGATTCTGGGAGTTGCAATTCCAAAAAAATAAATAAATAAATAAAAAAATTCCCCAGACTCAGTTTACAGCTTGAGGTTTAATGTGTAGAAGTTTGATTGATACGAAGTTTCCTAAGCAGCAGCCATACACAGATATACCCAGGGAATAAGAGGCAGTGGGATGAGTTGGATTAATGCTGGAGTGCAGTCCTGCACATGTCTAGGAGAAAGGAAGAGCTACTGTAGTTCAGTGGGACTTCCTCCTGCGTGAGTATGTATGCTGGATTGTACCCTTAGAGCATGAGTATGTATGCTGGATTGTACCCTTAGAAATATGCTATTGGTCTTTAATATGCCCCAGATCACTTTGTTCTTCTTCTGCAAATATGCAGCTCGTAAAACATCAAAGAAGTGAAAGATGCTCCAGATCACCTTGTTCCTCTTCCAAAAGAAGGTGTGCTTGCAGCTCGTAAAACATCAAAGAAGTGAAAAATCAAATTGCTTAAGTCAGAAAGAGGCAACTTTGTCAGAGACATTCATTAGCCTGTGTATTATATCAGAGGGGATGCAGGAACAGCATTTCCAAAGCTAGGATGCAAATGTACAAAATTAGAAAATGCTGGTGACATTGATTTTTATGTATTTATACACTTTGCATTCCTGGTTTGTGGCTGCCCATGTACAATTCCTTGCTGGGCACTTCATGCTTCTGGCAGCTTTTATTTGGGGCAGCTTTGAACAGGGTATTGAGAGAGTGCTGTTGCTTTGAATGTGAGCCATGAGAAGAGCACTTGGGCACATCGTCTGTCAGAAACATGGCCTGTCTTTCAGCCCAACTGATCAAATTGTGAAATTCAAGAAAGAAGGCAGACTCAGACCCCGACACAGACATATGGCCCATAACTTGATTTCTCATGAGAGGACTGAGGAGTTTCAGGATGCTTTTTCACACTGATGTTTTATGTTCCTTAAATGGAATTTGGTCGCCTGGTCTGAAGAGGAAGGCAAGAAAAGTGGTTACATGGGTGGCTGAGCCTGAGAAGAACTGAAAGTACTTATTTCACTGTGTGAAATTAAGTCTTATGTTTTCTGTACTCTGAGATGAGCCAAGAGGCTCTGAACCCACAGCATTCTTGCTCTGCTATTGTGATTTTTTAAGGAAAAGACAAATCTGAATAACTTACTTTTGATTTCTTTCAGAAATCTGGTGACCTTGAGGGAACAGCATGAGCAAGTAAGTATCATAAAACCCACTACCAGTTATTTGGAGTTAACTTGGCAAAAACTGATCCTCTAAATCTTTCTTTCTGGCTTAGAAAATGTACTCATTCAGTGCAGCTGGTCCTTTCCTTACATGAAGGCTCTAGCCAGATTCCCACTGGATCAAGAAGTGTGTGGAACAAAATCACACAATGGGTTTTCTCCCTTGGCAATTTGTCCATCACTTGACAGGTCACACACCAGTTGTGAAGGCAGTTGTGTGACAGAACCCCCCCCCCCAAAGGGTGGAAACCGCTTGCATGATTACTGTTCTGCACTTGGTTTTTTACTAACTGGATTCCAGCCTGTTAATGTAAAGCAACTTTCGCCAGCCAAGATTCCACCAAGTTTTTGGACTGTATTTTTTTTTCATCATCCTTATAACTAGCCATGCTGATGGGGAGGGTGGAAGTTGTAGTCTAAAGATGTATAGAGGTACCCAAGTGAAGCATGGCTGGTTTAGAGCAGTGTTCAGCCAAGTTTGCCCCACCCAGATGCTTTGGAGTACAACTCCCACAATGCTGGAGCTCTGACCCAGCTATCCAGCACAGGAGTAGCCTAACCTTTACAGTCCCAAAGGCCACATTTATTGTTTGCTGGCAACCTGGCTGCCAGAACATCACACGCTCGCTGTCTTTCTCATGTATGTGATATCTATGTGTATTTGCATGGAGACACAGCAATAAACCACCTTTCCAGATCAGTTTTGTCCAAGGCATCTGACAAAATATAAGAATAAGAACAAGAATTCTGTAATTTAAATAAGATGCTTGTATTCGATAGCGAAAGTTACCCCAGTGTTTTTAGTCCTGTTCCTTTTAGCAAGAATAAATATCTAGACCTACAGTAAGGATAAGAAAAGACAAGAAGTGGAAGCCAGGGGGTGATTGCCAGAGTTTAAGAAAAGTATCTATCTATCCATTTCCTCTTCTTGGAAAAGAAAAAAGAATAGACAGAAATATATACTACATATTTTGGGGTAGAGGGATCCTTCTGGAGAAACAACTGATTTGTGTTTAAGTTACCTCCAAGCTTCTTCGTATGCTGGGACATCAGAACTAGAGATGGGGGTATTCGCATACGAATATCCCCACACAGCTGGACTTAATGTGAGTCCAGCCCCTGGGGCCGGACTGTCCACTCACGTGTCCGCCAGCGGTGGCAGCAGCTTCACTCACAGAGGGGGTGAGACTCAGCTGGATTTTACCCATTCTGTGCCCAATTCTGCCCAAGGAAAGTTCCTGGCTCATTAAAGAACTCTTCCTCCATGTTCAAATAGCCACTTCTCTGAACTTTGGCATATAGTAGTTTCAACATGTTTCTTGTCCCTGTCCCTCCTAGTTTTGGAATGCAGAGGGGTGGGGTGGGGGAGACAAGCTGCTCATCCACTTGGACCATCTTACAGGTAACAGCTAACCCTTTAGAGTTGTGGAACTTGTACTGTAAATGAACTGAAAACCCAGACCCCTTTAGAGGCCTTTATTAATACATCTACCTTTAAGCCAAAGGTGGGGAACCTCTCCCCAGGTATCCTGGACTACATGTTTCATGGGCCCCATGGTGGACTGTGCTGGGTGGGACTAATCAGAGATGCAGTCTGAAATGTCTAGAGGGCCAAAAGTTCAGGATCCTGCTGTAAAGCCATCTTTAAAACATGTGTTGCTATGCAACGTAGTTGTTGCTATCTAAAATGGATCAATGGAAGATTTTTGAAGGCCAGCAATGCCTAAGAGTTGAATCTGGAGAAGACTCCCGTGTGTCTTTTGAGATCTGTTTTGGAGGGGAAATCAAAGAGAGGGAGAGGAGCAGTTTTACTGGTTTCTTGAACATTTGAAAGAAGTAAGAATAGCATGCCCTCAGTGTGTGACTGAGATAGCAGTTGCTCATTATAATAACCGTTCGGGAGGGTGTTCTCCTGCACATTCCTTCCTTGCAGAGAAAACTTTTCATAACTGCTTCTTTCTTTCCTTTAGTGATTTTACAGTTCGAAGTGAAGAATGAAAGTCTACTGGGAGGGGAGTACTCGTCCAACTGGAACTGCTTGTTTATATTTTTTCAACAAAGAATAAAAGAACATCAAAAGTTTAGATTTAAATCTTAATTTATAACTATTTTTAACTGTGATTTTTAAAGGTATACCTTTCTTGCAGTCAGCCTAGGCATGGGAGGTGCCCTGATTTGCACTGCGACGGCAGAAACTGAAGAAGGGAGGTGTATGGGGGGAAAGGCAAGAAGCCGGCTCCTATTGTTCTGTATTGTAATGCAGCAATATCTTTTATTGCGATCTCCACATCCTCCTTTACTGCCACCCATCCCGTAAGAGTTATTTTTTTAAACAAAAACATCCCCTTCCCTGTTTTCATACTACCTGCTTTCTACGTCAAGTTAAAATTGAAAAGGTAAAAGGGATGGTCCTCTGGTCCAACTCTGTATCACCTTTCTTCCACTGTTGAATATGTACAAAGCTGTGTTATCCTGGGATTGGTTTTTTTTTTAATTATTATTATTCATCCGTCCTTCTCTTTTTAATAAACGGAACACAATAAAAGATTTTGACTGGAAGGAGAGTGTGCTTATCTTTGGTCTCCTAAAATGCACAAAATCTTTCAGCTACCGCTAAATGGAATCTCACAAAGCATCTGGCATTTTGTACAGAATATACTCAGGTTTTTGTGTTTGTCTCATAATTTTGCAAGAGAAGCAGGCTTCAAAGTAGGTTTTATCATGCAGAAAGACTTCACTGGTTTAATAACCAGTTAAAGCCTGTTGATGGATTAGGACAGGGAACACGGCTTTGCTTTGGTCCATGTCCCTTGCCAAAGCTCTTAGTCACCACTGTCTCAACACAGGTGTTCCCGCTCATTAGCCTCATTCCTTCTGCCGGTGAGTTCTTGCCAACAATATTCAGAATGTCTGTGAATATTCAAAACAACAATAAGCAAAGGGGCTTATATTTAGTATCAAAAATAATACCCTTATACCATGGTAATCTCTACTAGATTGCTGGATTCTGCTGTTTGTATAATACTGCACTGAAGTGTGCAGAATCCTACTGGAATTTTATTCTAGAGTAAGTGACATCATGTCAGTTATGATAGCAAATTGCAGCCAATTAATATGCTGCCAACCTAGCAGTTCGAAAGCATGCAAAAATGCGAGTAGATAAATAGGTACCACCTCGGTGGGAAGGTAACGCCGTTCTGTGTCTAGTCGCGCTGGCCACGTGACCACGGAAACTGTCTATGGACAAACGCTGGCTCTACAGCTTGGAGACGGGGATGAGCACTGCCCCTTAGAGTCGGACGCGACTGGACTAAATATGCTAGTTGGGTGGTTAGCTACAGTTTATCACTAGAACATAAGGGCCTTTTCTTACATACGAATATGGACTATAAAAACCACACCAAGCAGCTCAGTGGAATGGGTGGATTTGTAAGAGTATTACCCTCCAACAACTGGTAATTTTCTCATAGGATGCTCTGACATGCCATGGGGAGTGATAAGGAGTCAATCATCCATTTCATCAGACAACAGTGCTTCATTAGTGGGTTATTTTTATTTTTCCAAAAGATATAATTAAAATCATCATCTTGGTGAGTATGTTATCAAAGATTATACATTCAAAACATACACTTAGCATCTCATATACTAAAATGGTATAGATGAGCATCAAAGGACCTATCATGTTTTAGCAGTTTTTGTTTTGAAAGCACTCGACAATATAACTGAAAGAAAAACCTATTACTGCTTTGGATAAGAGACAGAATTAGCCCCAGTACATTGATTAATGTATAAAGCTGTACTCACAAGCCCACTGCTACTATGTGAGGAATGCCACTAAACAGGTGCCAAGCTAAGTTGGTATTATAAAGGGGACAGAACTTCTCAAAATATGCGGACTCCATGTTATGGGTTCATCTAAGCATAACATTCTGCACTATCAACCATCTTGTAGAAAACGTTTCCAATATCTCCTTCCCTCTAGTACAGAGATAGGCAACTGAGGGTCGCCCAAGATCTTTTTGGACTAAAACTCCGATAATCCATCGCCATTAGCTATGCTGTCTGAAAGGAACAGCCACAGGGAGCATCTCATATCTATTCATGCAAATAAATGAAATGATCAGTAGGAATCTGAGCCTCTCATTTTACTTGTAGGACTTCCATAAATTTAGAAGTTGCCCAGTGGGCAAAGAGTAGCAGTGTGGCTCAGTGTACAGTAATAAATTTTTAAAAATCTCTTGGGAAAGAGGTGCCCTATCTTTATACATTTTTAGCTGCAGTAAATCTTGTACTGCATTAATCCTATTATCGGTGAAAAAAATTGCAGTGAATGCTTACCCATTTGTGTAAATGGCCACACAGAAGTAACTAGTTGAATATCAAAGGAAAGATTATTTTTCTCTCAGAGTTGTTTTTCTATTGAGGTCTTAATAAGAGTTAGTTTCATAAGAAATTAAAAAATGAGGGTGGGCGAAAAGTATTGGGTCACTAAAACATTAGAATACTATGCAAAGGGTCCCACTAGGCTTGAATATTCATCTGTTTTCTAATATATTTTAGTTGTCCAACAAATTTAGTAACTACCCTGGTTTTTGGGTCTTGTACAAAGGCTGAATGGCTTTTCTCTTTCTCATTTTCTGAAAAGGTAAATCAAGGCTGAGCGCAGCAGGCAATGAAATGTAATCACTATCCCCACCCTTATCCTTTTCCATTAAAGCTAATGCTTAAGCCAAGGCATTTAGAAATGGTTGCTGCTAATCTAATTCAAGAAATCGATGCAAAAGCATTGCAGAAACTAGAGCAAACTGAAGAAGATACGTTGGGCTCCTTGAGCTGATGTGGTTGGCGTTGACTTCCTTGTTTGTCCACCATTTTCTGAGGAAAGAGGAAGGGGGAAAATTAAGGTAGATGGTAACCAAAAGAGCCTTCATTGTTTCCTGTCAACAGAAAGTTCCTTTTTAAAACAATATGGTTCAGCCAACTAAGGTTATTTGGAATCCCCTTTTTTAAAAAGTTGGGAAGATCTCAACAGCATTAACTGAAATGCTGTCATAAAAGCCTACGGATTATTTTAGTAAGGTTAACCTATCTGTATACTGAAACAAGTTCTCCTGTACCTAGGCTTTTCTCCCTGCTAGCTTGTAGCACTTTTCTAACGAACAGCAGTGGTGATTATGTTAAAACTCATACTCAAAATGTTTAAAATCCAGTTTTATCGAGTTTTGTTAGTTGAGCATATTTGCTGTACCAAGAAAGCCATTTGGCTTTTATGCTCACAGTCTTCCTGTTACCTATACACCTAACCTTCAATTCCCAGAGAACTACCACCTGCTAACTTTGAAAGAATATTGGTGTAGATGTAGCTTCTGCATTGCTGCACTGCCTCTATATTTCATTCCAGGTTGGTCCCCAGGAACTGCCTGCCTGTGCACATCAGGGGCTGGTAATTACAGGTTCAGCAAGACCCATGCCATCTGGGTAGATAAATCATGTCTTTCAGGCACTGTGAAAATGAACTTCCATTTTATATGGTATATTGTCTGCCATGCTTTTTGTGCATCTAGCTGACAATATCAGTACCAAAAAAGGTCTTCAAGACACATTCCCACATACTAACATCTTAAGGGCAATGATACCAAGACTGGGGAGGGGGGGAATTAGGCAGCAGGTGCCATCCCAACCATGGGGCATATACGGCATGGGGATCTGGGAGAAGGCTTTCTCTGCTGTGGCACCCTGGAAGTGGGAAGCCCCCCACCATTTGAGACCCAGCATGTACCAACATTGCTTTTACTTCATAGCTTGGTTTCCAAGCTTTCTATTTGCTGTGTTTTTATGTTGATTATATTGCAGAATTGTTAAGTACTTGAATAGTTCTTGATGCTTTTGAAGCAATTTTGTTGATTGCCCCCTGCCCCTGAGATGTATTGGTCACAGCTGGGTTAAGAGAAATAAATAAAATTCCTAGATCATCCTGATCAAATCTGTTTTCTTCAGATGAAAATTAAGGCTATCAATCTATGGTTACTACTAGCTTTGTTGGTTATATACCACCTTGTAGATTCAAGGCAGTATATCTCTCATTAGCAGGAATGACACCAGCTGGACAGTTCCCTCCTGTCATGTTTTTGGGTTATCCAGAAGCTTTGGATTGGTTGCAGTGGATGCTGGACTCAATAGGCCTCTTGGCCAGACCTAGCAGTGTTTTTCTGAGATTACCTTGAGCATTCCACTAGTTCAACTCCAGCCCCAAATAAGTCGCATTCTCAGCATCCAGAATGTTCACCTTTCCTGCAGGGGGCAGAGAGAGAGAAAAAACAGTGCTTTCCAGTAAAGTCAGATATCTTTGATTCCACATCTCTTCTAAGGCATTTTCTACTCTCATATGTACTGTTTTAATCCACACAACACTCTACAGTAATTGATACTTGGGTATATTAGTCTCTATAGGTCGCAGATGGGAAATTTTCATTTCAAATCTGGCAGACAGGCAGCTACTAACTAACATTTCTGGTCCTACCAACTACAGTATAGCTCATGTACTTATTGAAAAGTAAAGACACTGATGGAATGGGCTGTGGCTAATTATACAAAGAGAGGGAGCCCAACGATAGCTCATGTACTTATTGAAGAATAAAGACACTGATGAAATGATTTAAACCTGTCCTTTCCTAGGCTGTGGCTAATTATACAAAGAGAGGGAGAATGAGAGAGAGAATCTGATTGATTGCCATAAAAATAGTAATTGACACCGTGGAAGATACTGGCCATTGGGATTCTACTTTGGAGTAAATTAAATTGCATAAGTTGTGACAGCAAATTGCACTTTTTAGCAAGGTGCCAGTCATGTGTCAAACACAGCTGCTGCACAGCCATGCACACAGCCAGCACGTTTAAATCAAATACAGTTCACTGCCATGACTTACGCAATTTCACTTATACTGGAGTAACAGGATTCTAGCCACCAAGTTTCATGTTATTTTAGTGCTCTTTGACATGCAGATGAATGTTCTGAAGTATCTGTCATGACATTAGCCTCAAGAATAAAATTGTGACTGGATAATTTGCAAATGCAGTATTTAAGCCATGTTGTTTTTGTTTTGTGTTTCTTTTTCATTTTGCTGCTGCACTGGTTATTAAGTTTGGCATACCTTGTGAAATGGGAAACCATAACATCCAGCTCAGTCAACAGTGCTATTGCTGCATGTTATGGTGTACCAAATATTGTTGACCAACTTTTATCCTCATGATGGAGATTCAGGAGCTTAAAGAACATGTGTCAAAAATGAATTCAATTTATCTTCCACTGAGAATGAAGCTGTTAATGCTAAGTTTTAGCCTCCTGTGCTAAAAACCAAATTTCCGTTAGCAGGGCATTTGAACACAAGCTGAGCGGAAGCTGAATTGATACTGGGGTCAACAAATGGGCAGCCAGGCATTCTGATCTACTTTCATTCCTTGCTTGTTTTCTGAATAAGTTGGTTGTGGGCCTCGATTTGTTCTGCACCAATCAGGAAACATGAAACCAACGGCAGTGGTCCCCATCCAGAGCATAGGACAGGGATCAAGTCTTTGGCTCCAAGACTTGGGTACCAAGCCCCAAGTCTGAGTCTCTATTAAAAAAACAAGCATTTTCCCCTGAAAAAAAAAGAAGTGGGTAGGTTCCAAGTCACAATAGAGTCTGATTCATTGTGGGGAAAAACAGCTCAGTAGAGTCACCAGTGTAGCTTAAGTCTGACTTGACAGCAAGTCCTGCAACCTGAATTCTGCAACCTGGGCATAGGAAAGGGGGGGGCGTGGGGAGAAGCTCAGGCTTCCGCAACAAGCATGGCTCTGGGTGGTAGATTCTCATTGTCTCTTAGTTCAAAAAGTACCCCCCAGCTCTTTAAATCCTTCTGTCCATCACTCTAGGCCTTAACTAGTATGGGTACTTATTGGTTCAAGGCATGAGCCACTGACACATTGTTCCCAAACTACTCATAAGCTGGCTTACTTTAAAAATGTAAAACAAACACAAAACAAAACAAAAAAAACACCAGCACGTCTGTTAACATCATTGCCCCTTGATAGCGCGCGCGCGCACACACACACACACACACACACACACACACCCTTTACCAGTGCAGTCCAGTGGTCCACGGACTTTAGTGCCCTCAATGATTGTGCCATTTTTGTAGACACACCAGCAGTACCCAGTGCTGTGATGGCATTGCTTAGGCAGATAGTCGCCCTTTTCATCACACTGGGCACAGAATCTTCCTGGGTGGACACCCTTACCACACTCTTCTTGCTGGCACTTGGTTTTCACTTTAAAAACAAAAACAAAAACCAAGGAAATTTAGTGTGTGACCTTGATTGCTATCCACTGCCACTCATAAATGTACTTGTGAGTCACTGCAAATGAACAGCTTCCTTATCGGTTGTTGTAAGTCTTTCGGGCTGTTTGGCGGTGAAAACCTTCGAGAGTACAGCTTCCTTATTACTATAAAACTACAACTCCCCAAATCCTCTAGAGAACATGACCTCTAGAATTCTGTGACTCCAGCTTTAATGTATGCCCCTCAGTCAAGTGTTATATAAGAAGAGGATGCATATGAAACAAAGGTTGGGAACTCTTGACCCTCCAGATGTTGTTGGACGCCAACTCCTTTCATTCTCAACCAACATACTGTAGCTGATTATACAGGATGAGGGGAGCTGCCTTCCAGCATTTGGCCACAATTCTCCAAACCTGATGGGCAGCATCTAATGGACATTGTTGGCAGTTTTATAGAGTATGGGAAAATATGGTTCTCCAGCTGTTCTGGACTCCCGTTCCCATAACCCTTACCCTTTGACTGGCCTGGCTAGGGCTTCCAGGAGCTGAAGTTCAAGACATTTAGAGAGCCAAAAGTTCTTCATTCATTGTCTGTAAATCTATGTCTTAAACAGGATGCAGAGGTAAAACATCCCCTAGGCTCTTATGCTCTGGGTGGCAAGATGGAGTCTGATACTTGAATGCTTCCCCCTCTAAGTACAGCAAATGTACTTTTCTCCTTGGCAACCTATGTTTCTGCATGCAGAGCATATTTTAGGCAGAACAGGGTGCATTCAAACATTCAGCCTTCATCCAACTACCCTGCAAATAAATGTTTTAACAGAGAGCAGTCCGAGAAAAGCTTTGCCTTCTGGTTTGGCTGGACGTGTACACTGCCCGTCATATGAAAATGGGTTATTCCTATTCCGTCACGACTGCACCATGGGGGAAGGAAGAGTAAGGAAAGAATGTTTTTGTAACAATATGGCAGTTTAATTAGGGCAGCTATTTTATTATGATGGCTCCCAGGGAACCCATTTAACTTAACAAGAGCAAATGCTAATGAGTACTGCTTAATGGTGGTAGTATTAATATAAATTCTGCTAATGGGGTTGTGTCCAATTACTGCTGAGTGGCTAATTAGTATGAAAAATCCAGCTTCAGGGATTTAGTTCTGAAACCATTGATATCACAGAAAAAAGAATCCTAAAATATAATAATTATAATATATATATTATTGTTAATAATTCAGAGGGCAGTCAGGATAGAAGCTGTTTTACATTTTTTTAAAGATTTATCTTGGGAAAGGATCTTCATTGCAACAAATGTCTTCTGTCAACCTTTAGAGAAGCCTTTGAGAATGGCTGTTTTAAAGGTATTGCTGCCTGCCAATCAGTTTTCCGTGCATTGCTCAGGTTTATATGTTCCTTCGCCATGTTTTAGTTCTGCTGTACTGCTGGCACTGCCTTCTTGAAAGCGGAAGGAAAAAACAGCAATTTCCTTTCATGTTCCCTACTTCAAACCCAGTGCAGCAGCAAAATGGTCCACCTTGCAGTACAAATAAGCAAGTTTTTCATGTTCCAAGGAGATCCTTTATTTTAACTCTAATAATTGCGTTTTGTCATAAGGCAATGAATTTGTTGGACATTTTAGCTAATGAAAAAAGGTAATATAGAGGTGCAGTAAACAACAGACACATTACAGGTGTGCAAGTAGTGCCCATCTGACTTTCACAACACACACACACACAATCTGAAGTGTAGTAAAGATAGCTAGATAAAAAGAAAAGGGTGGGCGGGCTCAGCAACTGGACTACCCAAGGGTAGATTTTGGCTTTTATTGACACTTTACTTGGCAGTCTCCTTCCACCCCTTCTGTGCTACAATATTAGTTTCATTTCCCCCTAATCTGCAACTGGCGACAATTTTTCTTTTACATTTTAGCATTTTTAACCCCCTAAATACAGGAGCAAACTTTAGTGACTTGTAGGGACATACATATCAACCCAAGGACAATTGGAACAGGGTTAGGGGTGGAGAAGGCTTCTTAAATCACCCTGTAGCTAATCCAGAATCTCACCGATCTTCCTGTGTGCCCTATTTAGGTACTTTTCTGCAAAGCCAGTGCATGTCCCTAATATCCCCAATTCAGAGGTTGTTCCAGTGGCTTTATGAGAAGTGAATTGCAGTTCTGTTTTGGTAGAAGATCTCAAAGTTGCAGAAACTGATACAGAGGAAATGTTCTTGCACATTGGGCCATAAACAAGGTACCACCTTATACCAGCTTGCCCTCTCACAACTTGGTGCCCTCTAGGTGGACTGGAGTACAACTCCCAGAAACCGTAATCCAAATATCTCGAGGATACCATGTAGGGAAGGGTGATGCTACACTATGAGTAGAGTAATAGAGTTATGCCATTCAGGTGAGCCATTTCAGCCAATGTGTACAAAGCAAAATACGGCATTTTTAAGTGCCCATGCCCTCTACATGTTGTTGCAGGACTGAATCTCTATGATCCTTTAAACACTGGCTATCCTGAGGATGGCAGATGGAAGTTGCTGCCCAGGAACATCTAGAGGGCCACATGTTCCCCATGTCTGATTTGGGGAGAAAAGTAGGGAAAACATGGCCTTTGAATGATTGTCTGACACCCCTCAGCCTGCATGTAGAAAGAACCAAATGCTGGCTTCGGTCAAACAAACTCCTGGCAGAGTTCCACCACTTTCCCACCACTTCAGTCCTCCACAGTCTCCTCTGCCATCAAACGTAGCTATCCCTGGAGAAGTGGAGGATATGGAGAGAACACCTGTTGGAGGAGAGGGTTGGAATACCCAGAAACGACTCCTTACACAAAAGAAGCTTCTTCCCACTCACACAAGGGTTCATTTGGATCCCATCCATTGTAGGAGACAGAAAGAAGGTGGTATGTTGAGTGGAAATCTGCAGTTCCCCATCTGTTGTGGGGCTCTAAGACCCATCGGCCTCAGTCAACTAGGGACAGTGGTACTTGTAGTATTTCTAAGGTCCAACGAGGCCTTAGAAATAGCAGATTAGAAGTGGGTAGAAGTTACCCACTTCTGATGTCTGTCATAACGTTTTCACTCTCTGCATCTGGGGGACTCTGTTCCCCAGAAAGCCACCACTGGTGGCTGCTGGTCAGGAGCACGGAAATGAGTATGGGTTATCACACAGATGTCTGATAGAAGAATGCCACGCAGGGCTGCCTTTTTCAACCGCAACCCCAAATTCTCTATAATACAGTATCTAGTTCTATCAATCAACATATTACCATAGCAACTAACTCCCCCTGCAAAGATATATAGCATACGTTAGATCTCTTTCAGTTCTTCCTTCCAAATAAATTGCTATTATTCATTTGACTTGATTTCCTGTCTCTCATTAAAATGCCATAAAACTTCAGCAATAATAATAATAATAACAATCATCATCATCATCATCATCATCATCATCATCATCATCATCATCATCATCATCATCATCACATCATAATATGGTTTGAATGTATCAGAACAAGTCCCTGAGGGGCAGAGGATTTATTCCCCACAGGATCCCTTTCTAGCCTACCACCCTCCATACCTTTTTCTTCTGGCATCTCATTTTGGGCCATCTGGAAGAGCAGCCACTTGTGCAGCCAGGTTTCAAAAGCCTAGAAGAGAGCAGATGTCATTTTGAGAACATGAATCTCAGATTCAGATGACAGTGTGGATTACTGAATGAAGCAAGCCAGCGAATAGCTTGCTGTCCGTTTTGGAACTGGGTCAGAAAAGAATGTATGCAGAGGGTTCCGCCAGACATCTGGCAGGGAAAAGCACTCTTGTAGAAGTGTTAGTTTTGTCCAACTCAGTTAGTTTAGTTTCCCCAACATCCAAACAACATTCCCTCTTCGGTCTGCCAATGGCTGCTTTTGCTTGTTGTGTATTATTATTATTATTATTATTATTATTATTATTATTATTATTATTATTATTATTATTATTATTATTATTATTATTATTATTATTATTATTATTATTATTATTATTATTATTATTATTATTATTATTATTATTATTATTATTATTATTATTATTATTATTATTATTATTATTATTATTATTATTATTATTATTATTATTATTATTATTATTATTATTGTATTGATATATTCCGAACCTTTATTTGTTAGAGAGTCTCTCCCTAGGTGGACTGGCCATGTTGTTGCTGGATGCATGCAGTGAGTGGGGAAGAGAGGGGCACACATATATGGAGGCAAGGGAGAGGCTGGGGCGTATAGAAAGTGACAGCCAAGGGATGACAACACTGAGGCGCATACCAAATAAAAAATAAATGGCACTCAACCAATATGGATATTTGTTGGCACTGGCATATACAATTGTGTTGTGAACTTTGTGGAAAAATCTGTCTTAAAGTGGCAACTATAGTGTTGTAGCACTTTAACAGTAGACTGCCAACAGTGCGCGTGCGTGCGTTTTAGCTTATGAAATTTGAGAAAAACAAGACAGAACAAGAAAGGAACCACAAGCCCCATGTTAAGTGAATGGCCCTAAAACAAGGCCGCAGACATTGTGGGAGGGAAAGAAGCAGTAAGGAGGAGGAAGCAGAGAAAGGAGAGGGCATGGGGGACTTTCCCCATGCGTGGAAAGTTGCTACTGTAACATCACAATATACTGTACCTGTGGTCCTCCATCAATGAGTGAAAAGGGGGAGACGCAGGGGGGGAAGCAGGTGAAATGATGTGCAGTTAACACTGACCTCTGGGGGGAAATCTTCCTTTTTAAGAGAGGAGAGAAACAGCAAGCTTCAAATACAAAACTGGCCATCCGACTCACTCATAGCAACCAAGTCGAAGTTTTGGCAATAACTTTCTTGGACAACAACACAGACAGTCCACCTAGGGAGAGACACCCTAACAAATAAAGGTACAGAAGGTATCAATACAAGACACAACAAGCAAAAGCAGCCATTGGCAGACCAAAGAGGTGTAGGAGGTTGTGGAGGAAAAAAAAGTGGTAAATAAGATTGTCTTCATCATCCCCCTCCTGGATTTCCAGGACTGATTGCAACCCTTACCTTCCAATCCTCATAAGTCATGTGCTTCCTCAGCTGGCTGATGTTTTCCATGAAGCTGCTGCTCAATTCTGGGAATTTTCTCATAGGATTTTCCCGCTGTTGGTGGGAAACCATGAACAAAGGTGCATAAGAGGAGGAAGAAATTTGGAAGCCCGGAAGGTGATAGCACTAGGTTAGGCTGATATGGCTTAAACAAGGCTAACCCTATCATCAAATGGGAGGCAAGGAAAGTCTGGACTGGCAGTATATGAAAAGGCACAGCCTGAGAAACACAGAATCAGGGACTACAAGTCCCAGAATCCCCCAGGCAGCATGTGCACTCACCATGCTGGCTGAAGGATTCTAGGGCTTACAACAGAAAAAGTAACATTTCCAAGCTCTGTAAACGAAGAATGTGATGTTAGTGATTCAATCAGGTGTGAGTGACAAGTCTGGTCTCTAACTCAATCTTCACCAACCTAAGCCAAAGTAGTTTCAGGGAAAAGCATAGACGGCATGGGAAGAGGCCTTATGGATCATCAAATATATCGAAGGAGGCCCAGTGGGGAATTGAACTTCCAACCTCAGGCTCTGTAGCTGGATCCCTAAACCACTGAGCTCTCCAGGACAGTGTCACAAGAGTCATGGTGGGAAAAACTGACATAAGAAGCAGAACATGTTGCCTTTCCCCAAGTTCTCAGAATAAATGTTCACAGCACGCACTACGCCTCCCATTGCCTCAGCCTTTGTTATAAAAAAGAAGAATATTTGTTTTTGGGATCCATCTTCAGCAGCATAACCCCACATGAAAAGCAGGTCAAATTATCCACACATCTTACTTCTCACTCCAAGATAATTTAGAAGAACTAGTGTGTGCTGTATTTATTGCTTTTATTTAGGCGGGGGAAGATTTCCAAAGTAGCTACTTGGATGCCTATTCACTTTTCACAGTCAATATTCAGGCTCCGATGTCTAACCAGCATCCAAAAAAAGTTTTATGCGCACATGTGGAAGAACGGCTCACATAGCAGCCACTGTCCTTGGCCGTTTCTGATGACGTTGGTTCCCAGAGAGAGCCAGTGTGGTGCAGTGGATAGAGGGATGGGCGGAGGAGATCAGGGTTCAAATCTCTGCTCAGCCTATGGAAACTCATTGGGGGAGACGGCACTGGTAAAAACCACTCCTTGATCATCTTGTGCACCTCAAAAACCCTATTTGGATCATCAGGAGTCACTTGACGGCATATAAAGCATGCAGGTTGCCACTGCTGAAGAAATGAACTGCTGCTCCATTTAGCACTGCAGGCTGATACATTGAAGGCAAGCTTGCCCAAGCACCTACCCCCCAACTCAGCCCACCCCACCTTCATTTCACTTTATTATATATATGCTTTGTCCAATGCTACCCATTTGTAGCATTGTTTCCCATTTGTAACAACACTTGTATGCCTGTCAGATATTATGGCCGGAAGGCAGTGGCAGGATAGCCATTCTCGTGGACTAGGGCTGTTCAGTCTGATGCTTCTGACTCTGGAGGCATAAATCTAGAGCTCTAGATGACCAGCCTGGCTGAACGTGCACTAGACTATCTATCACATGGGGGTGAATATGAGACTCTTACCAAGAGCACACGTTTCACCTGATCTTCAGTGCTGTTGGTCAGTTTGGCTTCGTATTCCAAAGACTGCAGAAAGAGGAACAAATGTGGAAAGTTAGTGACCCTGAGAAGCGGGTCCAGGTTCCCTTGAGTGGTGATAGTGGAGAATTCAAGTGATGCCCCTAGTGTGTGGAGCAGGAGTTCACATGACCGTAGCTGTGTAGAAAGTCTACAGAAATAAACAGATTAGAACAATGAGAGAGAAGGCAAAATTATAGACTTGGAAGGAATCTCAAGGGTTATCAAGTTTCAACACAGGAATCCAAAGACACATTTAAGACACATTCCTAAGGAAGTGTCACGAACTGAGCTGATGTGAGTCCTGAGCTGCTTGCCTGAGAGAATTTTAAGTGCAGATTTAGTCGTAAGGAAGTAGGGTTGGACGACAACTGCCATTATCATTCACCATTGGTTATGCTGCCCAGGGCTAACAGGAACCGCAGCCCCAGGTACATCTTCAGGATCCCATGTTTTCCACCCCGGAGTCACAGGTTGCTCTCCTCCATTAGCCCCAGGAGAAGGCCCTTGGAGAGTGCCTTAAACACAAGCTCTCGCCTGTAAATCCTCAGCCTAATCCTCTACACTATACACCAGGAGTGGGTCGTCTCAGCAGGGCCAAAGCCCGTTTTCTGATTTGCCAGCAAGCTAAGAGCACACCCTGAAGGGATGGGTTAGGGTTCCAATACTCTGGCAGATGTGTTGTTCAAGATTGACTCAGCCTTCTATCCTTCCAAGGTCGGTAAAATGAGTACCCATCTTCGGGGGAGGGGCAGGCGGGGGGGAGGCAATGTGTAGCCTGCATAATTAACTTGTAAGCTGCCCAAGGACTGCTTCAAGTGCTACGGGGCAGTATATAAGCAGCACACTTTTTGCTTTGTTGTGGATCCAGACTAAAGTTGTTTGCACTCAAATCCCACTGAAATCAGTTTAAAAACGTTAGTTGTGGCTTACATGAAATGAGATAGAAATGAAGTTAAATGACGTGAAATGAGCAACCATGTAATTTCCTCCCATTAGATCTTCTGGTGTTCCCAAACTAGCTGGTGACCTTTGGTATCATCCCGTTGATCCAGCCCTCCAAATAACATTAGCAAGAGAGGTTAATCTCACCTCAGACCATTTATGCAAGTGCCCGAATGAATGGTAAGGACAGGGCTGGCCTCACAGGCTGTCTTGCTCCATTCACGTCAAACCGACCAAATGAAACAATCCACTCTGTGCTCTGAAAGCGTCCTTGTAGGAAGAATATGGCTACAGTGCTTGAGCTGAAGCAGAATGAGTCCATCTGGAGAGAGCCCTAAGGTTCCTTTCCAGAACTCATGTGGGGTCTGAAAGAGCTGGATACACCCTACATTAGTCAGTATATTATTTTGATGCCTGATGTCAATTTTATGTTGTTTTATTATAATTGTTGGTAAAAAGGTAAAGGTTCCCCTTGACAATTTTTGTCCAGTCGTGTTCGACTCTAGGGGGCGGTGCTCATCCCCGTTTCCAAGCCATAGAGCCAGCGTTTTGTCCAAGGACAATCTTCCGTGGTCACATGGTCAGTGCGATTTAGACACGGAACGCTGTTCCCTTCCCACCGAGGTGGTCCCTATTTATCTACTTGCATTTGCATGCTTTCGAACCGCTAGGTTGGCAGGAGCTGGGACAAGCGACGGGAGCTCACTCCGTCATGTGGATTCGATCTTATGACTGCTTGGTCTTCTGACCCTGCAGCACAGGCTTCTGCGGTTTAGCCCACAGCGCCACCACGTCCCTTTTGACTATGGTCTTATTTTGTTTTAAACTGCCCAGAGTGGTTAAATCAATCAATCAATCTGATTGCATCATGTGTGAAAGCGCTTTGCATACAACATGCTCTTGATGGAAGCATGCTATTGTTTATTGAGTAGGACCATATCTCAATCACAGAGATTTCTGACAGGATGGCTGTGATAGATAGAGTATAGCAAAAGTTCCAGCCAGTCTTGCGGCAACTTAAAATCTCATGGTTCTTGTGGGTTTTTCGGGCTCTTTGGCCGTGTTCTGAAGATTGTTCTTCCTGACGTTTTGCCAGTCTCTGTGGCCGGCATCTTCAGAGGAACAAGAGTAGGAACAGAGCATGGACAGAGTTCTGACTCCTGTCCTCTGAAGACGCCGGCCACAGAGACTTGCGAAATGTTAGGAAGAACCACCTTCAGAACATGGCCAAAGAGCCCGAAAAACCCACAACAACCATTAGATCCTGGCCGTGAAAGCCTTCACGAATACATTAAAATCTCACATTTTCTATTTGGCATAAAACTTTTGTCAATGTTATCAGGTAAAAGGGGGCACTCTTTGTGAAAGCTTATGCTCAGTAAAACTTGTTACTTTTTAATGAGCTGCAAGCTCCATTACTGTTGTTTCCAGCCCTACGCTTATATTAGTGTCAGGGACACCTATACTTTAGGTCTTTGTTCATTGGTGACTGAGCTGTTTCAAAATCTCATGCATGCAGGAAATTAGAAAACAGCTTCACCCTCTGTTGTTGCTGTCACCCACAGACTAGCTGGAAAGAAGGGCACCAAGAGATGAATGTCCTCCCTCACCTCCACCAGTTTTCTGCAAAATTAGGGTTGGAGCAATTACATGGCACGGATCAAAAAGCAAGATCATCCTACAGTATTCAACTCTGACACCTCCTCTCTACCACCATCTCTGCCTCGCCTGTTTACCTCTTCATCTCTCATGGCCAGGGGCATCATATTGACCATGGACATCTTCATCTTGTTTCCTGGCTTGGAATCTGTAGGGTGGGGGAAACAAAAAGCAGTACAAAACGCAAATGAAGAATGTTTAAAATGTTCTCAAGCAGACAAAGGCCTTGTGCAAACTAGGTGGGTCCTCCACCAGCAGCACCTTCAGCCACCACTGCTGCCCAGTGCCTGCCTTCCAGAAGTTTCTCTGTCCCCATCTCTGTTGGAAGTACCTACAGTATGCTCTTCACCTGATGTGGCCTGTACTCCCGAAGAAGGGGAATGCGCCTTAGTCTGGTGTTTCACCTTATGGACCTTCTCCCTTGGGTGACCCTGCTGGGAGGCCAGGCTCGTAATGGAAATCGAGCCTCCAGAGAGCATTGCTCTTGGCTTCTCTGACACACTCAAGCCCCCTCACCACATTTAGGTGCGCTTCGTACACCTAAGAAGGGGCTTCGTACAGGTTAATCAGTTTTCCTTTGATGTAATTCAGATTCTACCAATTTAAATTTTGACAGCATAAAACACTGGTTCTTAACCTTGGGTTACTCAGGAGTTTTGGACTGCAACTCCCAGAAGCCTTCACCACCAGCTGTCCTGATTGGGGTTTCTGGGAGTTGCAGTTCAAAAACATCCGAGTAACAAAGGTTAAGAACCACTGGCATAAAACATCCTCTCTTCCTCCTTCCACCTTGCCCTCCATCTCTCGTCTCCTCTGCTCCCTTGATGTTGCCTTTCATAGCCTTTGCACACCTCTACCACCAGGTGGCGCTTTTGCTTTCTCAAGAGTGACACAACCCAGAATCAACTTGCCTGCAAAAAAGCAAAGCAGAACAACACACACACACATGTGATGGCTAAAACGCACCTCCCTCTACATTACCGGGTCAGTCATAAGACACTGGAATTATTGCAGGTCCTGGGGACAAGCCACAGGCCTTTGGTTACCCTCTTCCTGCCCTTTGGGCCACCTTGTTTAGAAAGCCAAAGGAGGCAAACTCTGAGGCAAAGCTACTAACTCTGAGCGAGCTTGTTGGTCAGCGACTCCAGTTTCAGCTCCTTGGTGTCCATGCTGAGCTTGGTGATCCTGTCATGGTGATTATACACAAAGAAGACGGTGGCTGCCTGGCCGGCAATGAGCAGAGCTGCCAGGACAGAAAGAGCTGAGTAGACAGCCTTGCGGTTGCCAGAGCCCCTGCAAGAGAGAAGAGAAGCACATGTTACCTCTGAAATTAATGTTCGGAATCTCCGGCAAGAACAACAGGCTAAGACACACACAGCTGATACTGACGCCAATTTTTATTTAAGAAGTACAGCTGGTCTCTTCATCTTAAAAGCAGAGAAGAGCCCCGATTAGAAATTGCATAGGCATTTTATAGGGTTTTACACAAAGAGCAATAAAGCAAAACATTCCCTTATTGGTTCCCTGAACCCCAAGTTTGGATCCTGCTTCTAATTGGATTAACAGTGCCAATTAACTCCAAGCATTGGTTATGCGTAAATATGCATTGTGCCCCCGTGTTCCCTTGACCTAAAGTCAAAATGTACCCAGGGTATGCAAAAATATTGCCTGAATGTCTGAAGAAATATTTTCCTTTTCCCTCTTATCTCATTATAATGTTGATTTCTCTTATTGCTGGTCTGACAAGAATCAAGGTAATTGTGGTGCAGAAATGTGGGAAGATGTTCTAAGACTACAAGGGCAGGAAATGTAATCTTATAGCATGGAAAGTTACATGAGTTCTGTTACAAAGTTTACAAGGTATTTTGATTACAGACTACATAATCCATACAGTGCTTAAAACTCATTACAGAAAAATCTATCATAGAAAATATACATCAACCATTAACTAGAAATAAAGCATAAAGCATAAAAGAACAAAGCATAATATTGCTTGTTAAAATAAGGTTTCATCTTGGCCCACTCACACACACGTCACGGCTCACTCAACGCCCCCCGTGGGTTTCCTCTCATCTCAGGGAGCAGAAAGGGCCCCGGCTCAAAATAATCAGCAGGAAATGTAGACTATGCAAATAGTTCTACCCTGGCGTATCTCCAGCTTGCAGACAAAAACGGAATGCTTTGTCCTGTTCACAAACGGTGAAACTAGACAGGGTGGCAGGATATCTGTGACTGGATCTTATTAGAATTTTGCTTCCCATAATTTTTAATGACAGTCATGGAGGAGGGGCTAAAAAGGATAGTAGCTATACATTGAAGAGGGAGGGTTGTGTTCTCCCCCACCAATGTTTTGCTAATTTAAGTCTCCTTCCCATGCATTTTTACAGGGAAGTTGTAGATTTGTACAAAATGTATACATTGATAATAAAACATACATCTGAGTAAAAATCTGGTTAAGGCGGCATGGTCATGGAAACTGCAAGATGCCATAGAATCAGGGCATCAACAGAAGCCCAATGTGAGTTCTTGGACATCATGGGCTCTTGACATCAAACAAGTAGTACTGTGTGATAAAGCAGTGGTCCCCAACCTTGGGCCTCCAGATGTTCTTGTACTACAACTCCCAGAAGCCTTCACCACCACCTCTACTGGCCAGGATTTCTGGGAGTTGAAATCCAAGAACATCTGGAGGCCCAAGGTTGGGGACCACTGTGCTAAAGAGAGCACCCACCAAGCAATACTATTCGTTTAGCTTTTATTTGTCTTAAATTGACAGCTCCTGGTGGTTTAACTAAATTCCTAATCCCCTCTCTGTTAGAGGCAGGCCATGTTAACTGGGCAGCCTTCCCTCCCCCAGGTAAAGAGAAACTCTTTGAGTTTCATAAAGGCAGAAAGGGAGAAGGAGGGGGGGGCCAGATTGCCTGCGACTGTCCTCTGCTTTAAGTAAGAGATGGGCTATAAATTCCAAATTGTTAGCTGAAGAAGAGCTTGAACCCAACAGGCATGCTGCAGCTGTTTTCCATCTAAGAAGCTTACCTGGCCTCCACCCCGTCAGCCAGGTGAATTTGGGACATTAAAAACAGCACCTAGGTTTGGAACTGCCCACAAGAACTTGATGCCCAGCCTTGAAGAAGACGAGTTATCCTGGAAAGCTCATTCCTTTCTCTTTTTTAAATATTCTTAATGGTCGATTAAAAGTATCACCTACTCCTGTGTTTATACACCTGAGTCTCATGGAAATCTCTATAGATTTCTCCATGTGTGCATCTATGGGAAGGGAGCGGAACCTGGGAAATATCATGGAAGGAATGGTTGAAAATCCATCTCGCATCCACTCCAGCTACTTTATTTTTTATTTTTTATTTTTAAAAAAGAGAGTTTTAATCATGAATCTCCTGTAAAAAAAAAAAAGAATAGCATTTCCTAAACTTCAAGGGATTTCAGACGGTGATTACGGTTAGGCACCATCAAATCCATTCCGAATGACCTTTCCAGGGTCTTCTAGGTCCAGTGGGACGAGGGTCCCAGCGGGGGAATCGATGCCAAGTCCCTCCCCAACAGAGGCTGGAAAACGCAGAACTTGCAAACGCTGTACACTGCATTGTCTCTGGCTCCCTCTAGTGGCCAGACCTGGTAAATACACCCCGGTGATACCTACGTATAAATAGGTATTTCTGGAGGGTTTTACAGTATTTAGTATTTTCAGCCAGCATGTAAGTGAAACAGTGGATACATATCTTGCAGATAGGCGAGTTCCACTATATATATAGTCTTCAGAAGTCGTTTACCAGTCTCTCTATCCGATGGTGCTCTGTGATTCTGCAGTCTGCCCAAGGCTGCATAGGTGACAGGGCATATAACCCATCCATCAGCCACACCTCTTCCAGGGGATCTTGGCTTGGCCCTTCTCCCAGGAGGTACAGAAAGGATTCAAGCTCTCAACCTCATGTCTGCACACAGGCTATCCGACTCACTGAACTACACGAGCTCTCAGAGGGCTATTAGACATTTAACAAATTGTGTTATTATACATACCATCAAGTTGGAATCAATTCATAACAGCCCTTATAGGGATTTCAAGGGAAGTGGTTTTACTAGATCCACACTCCCAATGAGTTTCCATGAGCAGGGATTCAAACCGAGACCTTCTGACTCTCTAGACCATCACTCTCTCCACTATACCACACCGTGTATCTTTAACAAATGAGAGAGCAATGAATGATCAACAACGAGAACCATTAAATGGTGGCCTCTAAAATATCAAGTGGCTGTAAGGTTTCACAGCATTCAGTAAAGCTTTCTGCGAGGAATCCCCTAGACAACATGACCAGTTCTGGGAACTGTCATCCACAAATTAACTTGTCTAAACTTTGCATACGAGTGTGTGCTGTCCCGCTCTTCTTATTAAGTCATGTCTGAGGCCTGAGGGCATTTTCTTTCGGTGTTGCTTTTGTTTACCTTTTTTTTTAGTGTGGTAGTTGTTTGATCCTTTTTAGTATTCGTATAATTACTGTCCATAATTTTAAATATGGTCTTTTAATGGTGTCAGTCACTTTGGGTCCTTTTAAAGGAGAAAGGTGGGTATAAACAAACAAACAGACAGTTTTTCATATAACCTGGTGAGATTTCGGTTGTGGGGAGTCTGTGACATATTTTACAAAGAATTTCAAACTCAGAGAAATGAGGCACCTGGCTTAAATGGAGTTTTGTACATTTCACTACAATGGGCATCGAGAAGTACTGTTTTCTTATTCAAACTAGCAGAGGCAGTGGCGGTGAATGGTTGCTTTTATCTTCTCTTTTTTAACAACCATTCCATCCTTTATGACTTGGGCTGTCATTCACAGGAGATTTTTTAACAGATGTCTTCCTATCTACAGAGCTGTGACTGGCACAGGACTTTGCCTTATGGTGGTAAAACTTTGCTTGTTAGGATTTTCTCTGTTTTCCTATCAACTCCATTATTTAATTAATTTCTGTAACAAAGGGTAATTGTGTACTTAACCAGTCAAAGGAGAAGCCGGTTGGGAAACCACCTAAATTTTAGCCAATCATTATCTGTTTTACTTATGATGTCATATGTTGCTAGGTAGACATAACCCATGAGTAGAAGAGAAGAAATGTTTGTTCCACTGGCTTGTTTGTTCTACTGATGCAGTAGTTATGGGCTGCTTTTCTCATAAGAATAGTAGCTATGTGCCTTCAAGTCCATTTTGACTTATGGTGAGTCTTTTCCAGGATTTTCTTGGTAAAGAGTACTCAGAAGGGGTTTACCATTCCCTTCTTCTGTTGGCATCCAAGACTTGTCCAAGGCCACACAGGCTGGATATTCTGGGATGCGCAGTGGGGAATAGAACTCCCAACCTCTGAATCCCGACAGCCAGGTTTCTAACTCACTGAGCTAGATAACTGGATAGCTCAGTGAGTTAGGTGTTTGGCTGCAGAGTTCAGTCCCCCAACTTTGCCTCCAGAGAGAAGAGCCAGCCTGCGTAGCCTTGGGCAAGCTGCACAGGTCCAGGATACCCCCTGAAAAAAGGGAACAGTAAACCATTTCTATGTATTTCCTATTTAGAAAACCCTGAAAAGTAAGAATGGACTTAAGCAAACCTTGAAAAGTGACTGTATATTACACATTTCTTCTTTTTATGTGAAGAAATTCCTATCCTTAATATACTGGCCATCATGCATGTTGTTTCATAAGTATTGTGTTAGAAATAATTAGAAATTTTAAAAATTGCTATTTTTAAGCTATATTTATTCCTATTCACTCACCCCACTCTGCTTAATTCAAGACTAATAAGTGCATGCTGAACTTAATTCTTTTAAAATATATTTGATCTGATTCATAAGCTGAACATAATGCTTGTTGCTTATAAAAATGGTTATAGATAAAAGAAAAATTCCAGCTAAATGTGGGTCTTCCATAGATATAACAACATTGTTATACTGGATAGAAAACAGGCCAGAAAAATCTGTAAATCATATTAAAGTATGGATAGGCGCTTTCTGAACAATTTTTGCCCTAGTAACATCTGACGTCATGAGATATTTGTAATCTGATTGGCCTTGGCTGTAGAATTTGGCATGCATTGAAAATGGGCAGCATCTCAACTGCATGATTTCCCAGAACAACCATTACTGTTAACAAATGATTATTCATCACAGAAAAATAAGAAGCCATAAAGCCTAATAACAAGAAAGTCAGGTATCCTAAAACACAGGGACTCATTTGGAAAAGGGGACAACAGAGAATGAGATGATTGGACAGTGTCACCGAAACTACCAATATGAATTTGACCCAACTCCGGGAGGCAGTGGAAGACAGGAGGGCCTGGCGTGCTCTGGTCCATCGGGTCACGAAGAGTCGGACACGACTAAACGACTAAACAACAAAATGGCGGGAATGTTTTTCCTCATCATTGTTGTTTTTAAACAGAAATTTTAATCTCAAATTTTCTGTTTGTCTCCAGCATTTTGCAACAAAGATGTCATATAGATTTTTGTTTAGCATTTTGATTTCGCCATACCTGAGAGCTGTATTTCTGGAAGGGATAGATAGGCAGTAAGCCACATTTTCAAAAAATTTTTTTGTAAAACTCAGAATTAAAATTATAGGAAAGAAATGAAATATCTCATGTACCAGTCAAAAATGAGAGGAGGAAACCATTCATTGCCTTGCAATGGAAAAACAACCAAAATATTCAACTGGCGGCTATAAATTTCATGGACAAAACACAATATCTGAAAAATTAGCATAAAAGGGGGATAAGTATTTCTGCTCCAAACTTACCTTGTGAAGTCTCCATTGCCATAATGCCATGACGGTTTCCCCTTGTCCACCCCAGACAGATTGAACAAATTAACATGTAATAACTACACAACCACATTAATCTGATGAAAACTAGTTACTGGGTCATGAAAAGTTGAGATTAAGGGACCAGAAACCCAGAGACAAAGCATTCATTTTCAGTGGACTGGAAAACTAACACAGGGAGCATCTGTGCTGTGTAATCCTACCCATATTCGCTTAAAAGCAAGCTCAACTGTGTGCGAAAGGGTTTGCTCCTGAGTAAATGTGCGCAGCCTGCAGCTTGCTTACTTGGCTTCCCACCTTCCCTTACCAAAGCTTTTACTGCACAACATCCCTTTGCTTTTCAAAGGCCAATGTATCCTATATCTCTTCTCCTCAGAGAGAACAGAAGCAAAGCACAAAATCCCCATGATGGTTGGTTTCTGTACCCAATACCTGGGGATTATACCTCCTCTCTCCCTCCATTGGCACTGCCTGCCTTCCTGCCACATCACTGGAGTTTTCAGGCAAGGTGAGTTACGCAGAAGGGAAGCCACACACTTACCAGACTCTCAGCCTTTTTCGCTCTCGTGTGCCTCCCTAATAAAGCATGGGGAAGTTACATCTTGGGATTACAACATCCAAAAACCCACAGCCAGCATGGCCAGCACTAGAAGTTCCCCAGTAGACTGGTGGAGTTATACTCCCAAAAAGTAACTTTTCCGTGCTCTGCTTCTTTGGGAATCCATGAGGGCACTTTTCCTTGTGAAAATTTGAGGAAACCCCAGGGAAATAACTAAAAATGCAAGAGAGAAAAAAAGTAAATCCTCAAAAAATATAAATACCCTGCTGGTTGTCCTATAGGACCAGCAATTGAACCAGAGAGAAGATTGTTCCTGTCGTCCTCCATGCTGTGGGTCTCCTGAGACGCTGGCTGACTTCTGGGGCTGTAGCCAGGGGCTATGCTCTGCCTTGCACCAGCAAGGGCTCTGTGAAACCTGCCTTGCTCTTCAGAAGCTTCTTGAAGCACAAGGAAGTGGGAAGTGAAAGTTGCAGGACTTAAAGAACTGGAAATACCCTTGGTCCTTTCCCCTCCCACATTAATACCCTATACAGGTCTTAGCGGGGGCTGCACTGTGCTGGTTTGCTCTTTGAAAAAAAATCTCATTGGTCACTAAGAACCTGTCACCAGTTGGCAGGCAGAGTTCCTCATTTTTTTAGTTCAGCGCATAGTTGGCGTTAAGAGCTCAGCAGCTAGCTTGCTATTTCCTTGCCCTTCGGTCACACAAAGAGGGTCCCAGGTTTTTTCAGGGTAGTAGGTGGGAATGTATATTCATATAAGAGGGAAAGGAATACCAAATTGTTCTTTTTGCTTTAAGGACATGTATATTCATTCCTAACATGTACATTGCGAAAATCTAGTTACAGAATGGATTTCAGTGCACAGTTCTAGGGAGCTGGCATTCAAGAAATACTGCAGAATTCATACTGCTTTGTTCCATGACACCAACATTTCTGATCCAGGCTTTTGATCATAACTATTACCCAGTGTTGTATCCTATGGCATGAGTGCTTCTGAAATGATTCCTGCAGAGAGATTTTTTTTAATTTTTTTATTATTATTCTTTAAATTACTCTTTTACATTGCAAGAGGACAACTCTGTGAATCTCTCTGGGCTGATTTCAAGAGCAGCAAAGTCTCAGAAGGCTCATATCTCAGCTCCTGATCCATCTCTTGGGCAAAGCTGTCCCTATACAGATAATCTTTGCAGGGACCCAGCACTGATACTGGAGCACATATGGCTTGTTGTGAGCCCTTTTTTCTCCTATGTATTATGAACTCTTTTGCCAGTGCTGAGAGAGAGAGAGAGAGAGAGAGAGAGAGAGAGAGAGAGAACAATCTATTCATTCATCCATCTGTTTTAACTGTGTTTAAAGTCATGCCATCCATGGAGGGAAGATATATAAAATGACCAGATAAGGCTGCATTTGGTAAACCATTAAAATATTTGTGTACCTTTATGAGACAGCATCCCATCCCACCACTACAATGTACAGTCCCAGGATCTGGTGTATGATAAGATTTGTACGAGTGACTGTAAAAGTTAGACTGGAACCAAGGTTTCCATTTATCATTTAAATTTTGACAAGACGTCACCACCCACAGTAGTGGGCTGTGTTAAAGACACAAAAAAGCAGTATGTTGGGAAGGAAAACTGAGCATTGTCTAACCTTTATTAACAGACATGCAGTCAGAAATGATTACCAATTGCATACTAAAATACAACATTTTTAAAAAACCAAATAAGGGTGAAATGCTGAGTTCCAAAATAAGAAACTGCCTCTGTCACTTTTTCAGGAGAAACAGAGAGTAAATGTTGACTCGCAGATGCACTGACAGGGCCATGTTGATATGGCAGCCACTGCCAATATAACAAATTAAAGCAAAAAAAATCATAGTAGACTAAAAGGTGGAGCGTAGGGAATGGAGATCAATGGGTTTGGGTGCCTTCCTTGACTCAGGCAGCATATGCAGAATTCAGAGATCATGAAAGCATACAAAAGATCACAGACAGGGAGTCCTGATAGTTTGTTGTGAAAAGCCAGAGAAGCCTGGGGTGCCTTAATCAGCCCAAGCCATGCCACTAAAGTGCCATGAAAACATGTACACCATCTGTCTTGCCTGCCTCAGTTTGTCACTGGTGGGAAGTCAATCACCCCCACCTGGACTGGGTTACTTTCCCTTTTCACCATATCTTGCTTGCTTTGGCTGGATAGCTCAGTGATTTAGGTCTCTGGGTGGGGAGTTTGATTCTCCGCTGTGCCTCCTTGACAAGAACTGGACCCAGTGATCCATAGGGTCCCTTCCGGCTCTGCAAGACTATTATTATATTATTACTCCTCGTAATAATAATGTTTGGTCCATAAGTAACAGGACCCTCCTCTCTTTCACATCATTGAGTCTCATAGCCATAATGACAGAGCTGTATGGTGAGGCTCTATAGAAACACAACATTCAGCTTTGGAAAACAGTCACATGGCTGACCTTAAAGAACATCAGACGTATTTAAAATAGCAGGACAATACTCTGGAGTAAGCTAGCATTGTTACACTGGCGATGTCTCTTATGGGTACCTGCCACCTACAATGCCATAGGAGATGGCTATGCCAGTTCGGATACATCCGTGAACTTCAAAAACCACAACATGTGCTGAGTTATGCCATTGATCCGTCTAGTCAAGTATGGCCTACTTTGACTCCTGGCACTTTGAGATACTAAGTAAGAGCGTTTCCTCACTTCGTGAACAGACATCCCTTTGCTGTCAACACCCCAAACTGAAATAGCTGTAGCCACACAAACCTCCCGAAGCGACACATGTCCTTCCAGCTTTTTTACTGCCGCCAAGACATATTAAGATATTTCATAAGAGAGAACCAGTTCAAACACCCACCCAAAACCCCATATGGCAATATCCTGCAAGCTGGTGCTCTCAGAGACTTTTGTTGGATTACAACTTCTATCGCTCCTGAACTATGGGCTAGGGAGAAAGGACGGTGGCCATTGCAGTCCAACCCATCTGGAGAGAAGACTGCTTGAGTCAAGGAGAATGCCTTCTCCTCTGGCAGCCCTCCGTATCTCTTGGAAAGACAAGACATGGCGGGATTAATGCAGCCCAAATGCTGGAGGTAGGAGGCACCCAGCTAGCACCTTCTGGACTTCAGACGCTCACACTTCTTTGATCTGCTGTGGACCCCCTCCTGGCTATTCACACCTTCCTCGCCCTGCCCTGGTCCTTAAAATAGTAAACTTTCCTCCATTACCTTGGTCTTTCTCTCTCCCTAGATAACTTGCCACATTTGGCCATGCCTGGAGCATGAAAGGACGCATTGGTTGATAAGGTTGCCTGAGCTCTCATAGACTTCAACTAGCAGATTTCTTCTTCTTTCTACAACAACCATTCCTCTCCAAGTTTTGGTTTAACTAAAACTGCTCTATTAATCTCAATCCAAAGTGAGTAAAGTTTCATTGCCATTGGACCTGGAGGATTCCAGGAGTTCACACAAGCTGGCCTTCCTTCCTTCCTTATTTTGTTCACATATTAAACCTTTGAAGGAAAGGTCCTGGGAACTACCAATTGGTTTCTGGATGCCTCTGTTTAAGGCTCACAAAACGCAGTCCTCCATTTTATACCACTATCAGTACAGTCTTGATCACTTTCCCATGTGT